TGAAATGAAACGCTACAAAGCTCTTGATTGCAAAGCTGTTTATTACATTAGGAATACAATTCTAAATTATGTCTTCCTTTTTTTTTACTGCTTTTTGTATATTTTTGTAAGAACTGTTTAAAGCTGTTTCTGCACTATTTGAAAACAGGGTCTTCTTTATATATAAAAGCAATCATTAATGAAATTGTCAGTAAATTGGTTTCCAACTACCGATCACTGAATTTGTTGACTGAAACCACTAACGTGTCTTTTTCATGAAATTAATTCCAGAAAAAACTTATTTCATACATGATTAATGTAGAACATTCAGAGAAGGGATGAATCCTAATGTTAAATATTTTTTAAAATTTGTATTTCTACTTTAACCCTGCCATTATACTTGTTAAATGTGTTGGTCTAAAACTTCTCCTGTTTTTACACGTGTGTGTGTGTGACGGTTCCAGTGAATTTCTAACAGACTTAATCACCCTGTTGTAACTAGATATTAACCCACACAAACACACAATGTAGCAAATGAAGACACAACATTTGACACCTGGCAGCTAACGAACTGTTGTTTTTATTTTATTTTTTTGTACTCTACATTGCCAGTGTCTGATGAGACAGTTTCTATTACTGTTACTATACACTTAACCTTTTGCTCGCACCAAAATGATCACTAGTGTGAATGTTTTAAAATTTGGCTGCAACCTATGTTATTTGTTTTACATATATTCATTAACTTGATCCTTAAATTGCAGATTATGATGGATTTTTTTTTCTCAGAACTTAAAGCTAATGATATGCTTTTTTTTCTCTTTCAATTCGGCCCAACAGCAGTATATAATTAGTTTACTGCTGAAAAAAATAGAGATCTGAAAGGATTTATATATTTAACTTGAAATTAGAAGATTGTGTTGAAATAATGAAATTAATTTGTTCATAAGTCCATATGAAATATACTTGCTGATAAATATACTTTTTAAAAAGTCAGTGGCAGATTAAATGGTTGCGGCTCCGATTCAGAACACTGCCTATATATAGCTGCTTGTCTTGACCAAAAACACTTTATTATAGGTCATTTTTAATATAACAAACTTAACTACAACCCACTGACTGCTCTCCTCAGTGACTTGTTTACCTGTGTTTTTATTGTGGTTCCTACCCTGGACACGTTAAAACTCTGACTTGAAAAAAAAGAAAAGCAGGATGTATTCTGTACGAACCATCAGCTGAAAAGACTGTACTTATGTGTTGAGATCACAATCATGTTATTTTGTTTGCGGTGTGCCTTTTATACTGTCTTATTTATCAGTAACAGTAGTTAGATTGGACCTTGTAATGCTGTATAAAATATCTGTGAAAGTGTGTTTCCTGTGGAAGTAAATAAAGAGTGATGTTTATTGTTGACTTTTGTTCTTTCAGTGTTATCTGATGTGTGATAGCTGTGAAAGTATAGAGATGTGGATTTCATGATAAGATCATTCAACACAGTCCTCGTGTATAGAGGAACTCTGTTTCAAGAACAAGGATGTGCAGAACTGCAATACCGATGGGGTATGAACTTAATAATTACCATGAAGAAATGAAGTGGGAAACCCACCAGCTTTATGCAGAAAATTTTAAATAAAAAAAATGCATTTAATGCTTTAACCTTTTTTTTAAGCGAGTTAATGTAAAATAATTAAATTATATTAGTCAGTGAAGAAACTGACATACTAGTTATGTTATTGTGCCTGATAAATGAAGGTCAGAATGCATTTTGGATGTATAGTTTTTATTTAAATGGATTTTTAAATGGTGTGCCAACATCTGTGGAGGTAAGGCTTGGATGTTTGTTAAAAAGAACCTTAATATATTTATAATATTCACAATGCAATAATCAAATATTGAAAACGAAATTATTTCTTACATCGTACGACGTTTATTTTTAGACTTGATTCGATGCTTTTAATTTGAAGGGAGTGTATCACCGGATACGATCTCAGTTTCCGGAAATGATCGCCTTTCACACGTAGATCATTTACGTTCTAACTCTAAAGACCACCTAGACAGGTAAGTCCTGCCCTTATAAACACACTCGAATTCATTGTCACACTTTGTGACAGTGGATGTGAGTGTGTGGAGAGGCTTTTTAGTCAAAAATAAATCGATGTAAAATCCTCCACAAAGCGTCGACTGCTTAGCGCTAGCTTCGAGGTAATGTTAGCTTGTTTGTGTAAAATGTCAACTATAATCCGTGATCTGCAGACTGTCGTCGTATCCGATTTACTAACCAGTGAATTTGTCAGGTTTTTCATTAAAGTTTTCCCAATCATATTTGTTATTTTCCAATTTTGTTACGTTTTTTTTTTTTTATTGTTGCTGTCGTAACGAAGACTGAAAAACAATTAGTCCAGTGGCTGTCGATCTTTATTCCTCCGCGTCTATCGTTTGCACTATGCAAATAGTACATTTGTATATAGTGACTTTGTGTTTTTTAAATCAGACCGAACTAAATTCGTTAAACCCGGAATTGATGTGAACCAATTAAAGCGTTTACGTTGTGATTATATCCTATTCAATTATTTACGTTTAAGTGTTCGCTCAAGCGTCAATTGTTTTGATAACATTTTAGTTTGGGGAAATCCAGTAGTGTGTTTACTTCTTTAAATTTCTCTTTTGTGCATTTACCCATATTAAATATGCATATAATATTCATTTAAAGTAATAAATTAAAAAACATTTTTACATAAAATAAAATCTAATCATTGCTTAACATGATTTAAATCACTTATTGACCTTTCACATAATATTGTGCATCTGGTGACTGTCTGGGATAAATTAAATATAATTTTGATTATCCAATTACTATATAGAATACATGTAGTAATGATTGTTGCAATTGGTGTTTTAGCTTCCTAACATGACGTACAAATGACAACCAGGTCCAAATAATCAATTTTCAACAGTTTTATATTTTTATCCAAATAAAGAGTTACAAAAAATCTCATTTCCCGCTCTGCTTAACCTCAAATGTTTTTGTATTAAGCTGTTGTATTAGAAAAACTGAAACTAAAATACAGGTCAATAATTCTTCACCTGTAAATTTGACTGTGTTTCTTTTTTATAGAGACAGAAGTAGTATACGCTGTGAAGACGCACACAGAGACTGTGAGTGGGTCCTCAGGTAGTTTCCTTATGTCAGGCCGAAACGGGTCTGCAAGTGATGCAGACTGCCGGATTTCTGAGGATCGCCATGACCCAGATGTTGAGCTGATGGAACTGGGGCCACTGCTGGAGGAAGGAGGAGCAGCGGCAGCAGCAGCATCTAATTGTGCCCATCCAGAGGTGGGTAGTCTATTTATCTAATGAAAAAAAAAAATCAGATTAAAATTTAGACCTGCTCATTCATTTAATTATAATTGTGTTGGTCTGTGTTTACCAGGGCGCCAATATGCTTGCTGATGAAGATGAAGACGATGATGAGGTCGGAGACGTTTTGACTTTACCTCTTCAGGCTCACCATGCCATGGAAAAAATGGAAGAGTTTGTACACAAGGTACAAAGGACTTTACCCTGAACACATTTAAAATAGTATTGACACATGAATCTGTCTGGTTTTATTCTTCTTAACCATAAAGCTTTTAAAAAATATAAAGTTAAAAGGAAACATTCTTTTTATCAATTCTTAATGGTTTTCTTCTGTATAAATGTAATTTGCAACACACGCTGTCTGGTAAAGAGACAAATCCTCTGACCTCACAGTACTTGGCCCATATTGTTATGTTGAACCAGCATGAATATTGCAACAGCCATGATGAATGAGCAGAAACTTGACACTCCGCTCAGTTCATCATTGCACTGCTGAGCATTTGTCTGGTTTAGCTTTGGAGCTGGACATGCAGATACAACAACAGGCAGCAAGTGAATGAGTATGGGCAGTTCTAACATTAAACATCAAATCCAGGATTCAAGTTTCATAAAATATAAGTCACTTGCTAATAAACTTTTATAATCTAAAGGATTGAAGACCGACATGTATAACAATAAATACATAGTTTTGCAAACCTGGTAAAAAGGCCAAGTGGATGAATAAATCTCTTTTGTTTCATTTTTATTTTCACTGTGGCTTGGTGCACCATTGGATAAATCCCACATGACTTGCAATTTTCATTATGTTTGCTGTCACATTCGAGCATGTTATTCTATTTCTATTCTGTTAAATCTATTGGTGCCATACTTGTAGGACCCAAATGAGCATCTGAGAGGAGAAAGTGATGTGAACTGTTTAGAGTGTTCAGCAGATTCTCTGGCTTTCTACCCCATATATTTCACGCCTAAACTTTAAGACTTTAATTCATCTTTATAATCATTTTAATATAAAGCTGGTTTAACCACATCAGACACTTCAAGTTCTCTGACTACACTTGTGTAGATGGTTTTTCATACATATTTAAATATTACATAAAAATGGATGTCTTACTCTCCAGGTCTGGGAGGGACGTTGGAGGGTCATCCCTTTCCATGTCCTGCCTGAGTGGCTGAAGGACAACGATTACCTCTTGCATGGACACCGGCCACCTATGCCATCTTTCAGGGCCTGTTTTGGAAGCATCTTTAGAATTCACACTGAGACGGGAAACATCTGGACTCACCTGTTAGGTAAAAACATCCATGCACATCACAAAGAGTTACAGTAGTTTATTCTGTTGCTAACTTACTGAATCCTGTATGATCTTTGTTTTTCTTCTCAGGGCTGATCTTGTTCATTTGTCTGGGCACGTTAACCATGCTGCGGCCCAACATGTATTTCATGGCCCCACTGCAAGAGAAGGTGGTGTTCGGGATGTTCTTCCTGGGAGCTGTGCTCTGCCTCAGCTTCTCCTGGCTTTTTCATACCGTCTACTGCCACTCAGAGAAAGTGTCTCGCACCTTCTCCAAGTAAGGCCTCAGACAAAATAGTTACTACTTGAACCAGCAGGGAGCGCTGTAAGTGCTACATTTACACAATCATTTTGCGCTTAAGGAAACCGACAGGTTAGTACTTGTTTTGGAGACTAAGCAGTTGTAGCATCTGAAGAGTAAAAGGAGGTCGGACTGAACTTTAGGATCTGTCATCTCTGAGTACTAAAGTACAAACAAGGAGTGTTCAACATCTGAATATCTCAGAACAGGAGTAGGATTTTTAATTTAATCCCAATTTAATCTAAAATCAGATTTTAATTAGACTAGTACAGTACAAGGAATTAAACTATATGAACAAAGCTTTCCTGCTTTTAATGTTGCTTTGATATTATACTATGTTATAATAGTATTTTATATATAATATAATAATATATATAATGTATGATATATATACAGTATTTATTATATATTATATTATTTAACATGATATAATGTGCTTTAAAATGTTTTTCTTTTGTCATTGAACGAGCTGTTCTCTTAACAATATAAAAAGCCATTTAGTAATTTCACTATATTCTTTCAGTTTGTTCCGCATGAACAGTGAGTGTGAATTCATCATGATTCAGATCATAAACAGATGTAAAGAAGCGATTCGCTCTTTCAAACCCTCACCTCTTCTCTTCCCTCTGTTCTCAGGCTTGACTACTCGGGCATCGCCCTCCTCATCATGGGCTCCTTTGTGCCCTGGCTTTACTACTCATTCTACTGTTCTCCACTGCCTCGACTCACCTACCTCACCGTTGTATGTGTCCTCGGCATTGCAGCCATTGTAGTGGCCCAGTGGGACCGCTTCTCTACACCTCGCCACAGACCCACACGGGCAGGTACTCACAGATCAAGAGTTGGAAACGTCATCTGTTTTTAAATAAAAGTGTTGTCAATGGTGAATTTTGACTCTTACTAGTTCTCAGTCAATGCAATGTCCACCGTTCTCATAGGTGTGTTCATGGGTCTGGGATTAAGTGGCATTGTTCCCACCATGCACTTCACCATCGAAGAGGGTTTTGTTAAAGCCACCACAGTTGGTCAGATGGGTTGGTTCTATCTGATGGGAGCCATGTACATCACTGGGGCTGGTCTGTATGCAGCCAGGATTCCGGAGCGTTACTTTCCTGGGAAGTGTGACATCTTGGTGAGTTTTTTTTTTGTTTTGTTTTTTACTTGGATCAGTGTACAGCTCTAATATACATACAGTAGATCATGATGCAATGAATACAACTTTTGTTTGATGTAGTAGGAAAATTGTAATGACTGTTATTAAACCTGTTTTTCCTTCTTTCTCTTTAGTTCCACTCCCATCAGATTTTTCATGTCCTGGTCGTGGCGGCAGCTTTCATTCATTTCTACGGTGTTTCTAACCTTCAGGAGTTTCGTTATGGCCTGGAAGGAGGATGCACAGATGACACTCTACTCTGACTGTGACTTACTCTTTCTTTTTCTTTATAAGCAACATACACAAAAGAAAACTTAAAATGCTGCTGCAATTGAGTACAGTCTCTTGTTATTATTTGTGTATGTCTTATTTTTAAACATCCTGTTTTGGGTCTCTTTAGTTCTTCTGCTTTGGCTTCTACTGCATCGAAAAAGTAGCATTAACTAGCCAATGAACTACAGAGGGGACCATTAACAGGCCTTCATTCATAAGGAAACTCACCATATGCTTCTTTGAAGCAAAGTCCATAAGAGGACTTCACTGTTTTCACTTCCTGAAAATTCTTGCAAAAGTAACATTTTCAGAGTGTCTCCATTGTCTCACAGGGTTTTCTTGCTGCAGCAAGGAGCACATGTATTAAACCATTCCTTGATATCTTCCTAGTTAACATCCAGATTGTTAGATAATCAGACAGGTCCATTTGTTTGGTTTTGTTTGTTTTTTTGAGTGGGAAGGGGAAATGGTTTCTTATGTTGTACAGTGTCTAACTGGGTACATAGTACTGGGAGTATTTGAAAAAAAAAAAGTATCCCTGCAGGCATTCAGCAGTAAAATCTAGACAGGAATAAATCTGTTTTTTAAACTCTATCAAACAGACCTATAGATGGTGTCTGAATTAAACAAATCACTAGGATTTTTGGGTGGAATCTGGTTTTGCACAGGTTTCCTGACTGAGCAATAGTCCCAAACACATTAGGTTTATTGAATGACACTCGGAAGCTGTAACATTTTTGTTTCTTCTGTTAAGTGATAAATAAGCTCAGTCAGGATTAGAGACAAATAATTTTAAAGTAAAATCACCTCCTACACTGTCAATTTGTATTCAGTTGTTTTCCAGAACACTGTTCTTGGACTACGCACAATGTATGGACGAAGACCAGAGTCTATTTCGGGCAGTTTTCTTTTATGCTATATTTTAGGTGCAGTGAGAGGCTTGATTATATACACTGTGGTGAAAACCATCTAATTCTAAACCTTAAATCAATGTCTTGGTTTTATTATATGTTATGTGTGATTGGTATAAACCTTTAGTATTCCTGTGCCTTAGGCCAATGGAAATGTTTTTACACAAAATGGCCTGTCTTAACTGTCAAGGGAGTTTCAAGGATTTTCAGATGTAGAATATTTTCATGTTTTCCCTCATAGTTATACAATCAAATCATTATTAAACTTACACCTCCATCGATAGGTTGTATCAACTGCTGTTTAAGATTCCTTTTTCTAGATGAAGCTTTATTACAACGAACTAAAACCATGTGTACTCTTGACTTTGTGTTTTGTCCTGTGTAGAAAGTGATAAATCCTACATTTTCCTGAAATGTAAACAAAAATACTGTATTTATTAATGGTAATCTTGGAAAATTATTGTAATAAATTTTTCCACATGTAAATACATGGTGTCCTGTGTTTTTAAATTTAATTATATTGAAATAATTACTGTGTGAGTTCTAACTTTTCAGATTGACGTTTAAATATAATGCAAATCTTTTAAGCTACAATATGTTATAAGTGTTAGTCCTGACAGCCCTGCAGTAGAAATGTGCTTTCAGTTTTCGTTTTGTCTTAAACTAGAAACAATAACAGTAATAAAAAAAATACATATCAACAAGAAGAAATAATAATAATAATGGAATTACTTGAAATCCGACTCGTGTGACGTTTTCTCTCTTTTGGTGATAAATTGGTGCGTGTGACTGCACGTACAGGATGTTCTTCAAACCGGATGTAAAGGGAATCAGGAACTTTCTGTAGTCGTGTGTTTCTAGACGGGAACATTTAGTTGTCGTAACGACTCACTAGCAGTATGTTAGATTAGCAGTAGACAGCGTCTCTGTCTTTTACCATTTTACTACAGTGTTCATCCTTTGACTCGGCCTCCATCTATAGGTATGTCAATTATTCATATACCCCCTAATTTCGAACGTGTAGTTAACCTGTCTCTACCTGTCTCGTTCAATGTCATGAAGCATCAAAATACAGCGTTACTATAGAGATTCTTTTAAATGTAACGGGTGTGAGTTTATAGGTTCGACCAGTTTTGATAAAACTTCATTAAGACGAGTTAAGCTTAATCAGAATAAACCAGCGTTTAAATGTCTGCTAATCAGACAGGGACTCTTTGTTGTGACTGTGCAATGGGGCTGTGAAAACTGTTCTATGGCCCATCCCTGTCCGTCATCGAACCAATTGTTAATCAACACCACCAAAATAATCTACTGTTTTCTCAGGATTGAAGATGGAAATTGTCCCACATTCCGACGACAGCACTGACCGGTCTGACCTGGTGGATGTGGACGGTAAAAACAGCAAGTTTGTGCTCTGTCAACGCTGCGATGCTAAAGTGCTGCGTCCGGGGATTGCTGTGTTTACAGAGAAGGAGGTACGAAGTCAAAGACTTTTTGTTAGTACGTTCCGCTTATTCTGCCACAGACTTCTGCTCTGATGCTTGCTTTATGTACAATTTAATGGACTCGATTTATTTATTATTTCGTGTTATAATATGGTCTAAAGGCTACAGTACATTTAATATTCTTATTCTTCTATTTTTTAGGCACAATTTTAGTTCACTGTGTGTGGACCATTGATGTATACTTTTTTTGCAGCGCCTCCTATTTGTAGATATGGCTATTGTCATATACCTTTAACACAAATAAAACATTTAAACTAATGATTTATGATTGAGCAGGTTGGTGTGAGGACCTGCAGGTAATAAAATGTCGAATCGAAGCTGATTTACTGACCTGTTGCAAATAAAAATGGTTTATGTTCTTGAAGCACTGTAGTCTCACGAATGTTTTTATTCCCCCCACCCACCAGTTGTTCTTGCCCTCCATGAAGAAAAAGAGTAGTCTCAACACCTCAGAAGGTTCACTGGATGGCGACACACTGATGACCCACTGGTTAGTGACTGACATATTCGATTTTGAAAATGTGGGCATCACTAAAGATGTGGGCAGGATCAAGTACCTTATCTGCGCAGATTGTGAGATTGGACCAATCGGCTGGCACTGTTTGGATGACAACACAAAGTTCTACGTGGCTTTGGAAAGGGTTAATCATGCATAGTTTGTTTGCACAAGTAATACAATAAGTAGTTGAAGGTCTGTTAGCCTGTCTATGTTTTAGTGTGGCAATTTTAATAAAATTGTTGTTTTTTTTCAACCCTGAGTTGTGATCTTCCATGTGTGTTGCATATTGTGGTTACTGATCTTCCATGTGTGTTGCATATTGTGGGCATGTTACTTTTAAATCACAAATGAAACAAACACCAATCAATGTAATAGATCATGTATGAATATCCTGCCTAGTAGTTTCAATCTGTCATTAGGTTTGTTGTTGAGTTAAACTGTTGCTAGTTTTACTGACTAACATGAATAATTAAATATTAAATGCACCACTGTGTGCTGAAAATCTGTGCACCTTGAATATCAAATGTTAATCTGCTGTTGGGTGATTAACTTGTAACTGAAAATACAGTTTTGGAAAAAAAGTTTCCTATACTATAATAATTTATTGGTACAAATTTAATCAAGTAAGTGAAAAAGTTTGCCTAGAAATTAAATCAAAGTGCATTGCACAATTACAGAATTGAGTAATTATTTTAAATCTTACAAACTCTGAGATTTTGGGATACATTGTTGTTAATGTATCTTTTCAAAAACCTTTTGCATTATCTCAGGATTATTAGTGTTAGTTGCACTTTTGTGGATTCGGCCAACATTGTTTTATGTCATTCTATTCGACCTCAAAGGAACACATTACAAAGACTTCAAAGGCGTTTTCACTCAGTAACAAAAATTGCAGACACGCCAAATAATTCCATACCTTCAGTGCTTAACTATACACTCAAACACAGGGATTTGGTAAATGATAGGAATCACTGAGAAAAAAATGTTTATTGTGAAAACAGAAACAAGCCGATTGTATCACCATGTGACTATAGTCTTAACCAACCAACGAGCTCCTCTAGACCATTTAAAAAGGAAGTACCGGTCAGCGCGTAGAGATCTTTTGCGTGCGTTTGTTTGCTAAACCTGTTCGGCCGTCCCACGTTTCCTTCATTTTAGTACAACCGGGCGGTGTATGTAGTCGTGCTCCATCTCAGGGTTGTTTAAACCAAACGTTTGTAGACGTATGTTTCAAAGGGTGGGACGATTCAAACTCACCCAAAGAGGCTTATAAGCTCATGAAAAAACCACGGAACCAATAATAAATACAACAAATTATATGCACTTAAAGGGGACTACACGCAAAGAAAGTGTAAAAGTACACAAATGTTTAGTTTCACGCCCACGAATGTGATATTTATTAACTGTTATCAGACGTTGGACGACGCAAAAACAACATTTGAAAGTGCACCACAGCTGTGGTCAGTTTTGCCAAATTAGATCAATTAAACAAACAATGCATCAATAGTTATCGATGGGAAGATTGTGTATACTTTACATCCGATAAGGCCACATTCCGGGTTGGGGCAAAGTGTGGGCTAAGCTCATTTTTAGGTCGGTCTACTTTTTGATGCGGAGGAGTACGGTATCTGGCTGTCACCCTCTCGTCTGCCAACAACTAGATAATTCGTCTTTGAGTTCAATGAAGTGGAGAGTGGACAGGAACTGAACAGAAACACAAAACTCCAAATCGGAAAGCTACTCTTATTCGACAGTTGTCGGGAAAACAGCAAAACGACAGTCGTTGGATAAAGATGCAACGATGAGCCAACCGCAGCTAAATGAGTTCATTCCTCCTCCGGAGTGTCCTGTTTTTGAGCCCAGCTGGGAAGAATTCGCCGACCCTTTTGCGTACATCAACAAAATACGAGTCATTGCGGAAAAAACTGGTATCTGCAAGATTCGCCCTCCACCTGTGAGTATTTTTACTTTTTGACAGTGATCCTGCTCTTATTTTCTGTTGTGTTTTTTGACCGGGACACTGCCTGGTGTGTGTAATTTAGCAAGCAAAGTTGAATGTGTGTGATGTGTGTTTAGACAGGGCTACTTCAACATGGCGGATTGCGGCTCTATGAGGTGAATTGTCAGTTAAGCTATTAGTCCGAGCCTGGAGTGAGTGTCGCGTTTGTTACTGTCGTACAGTAGGAGTCACTTCCAAGAACCAACTAGAAGGAAATTTAGGGCTTAGTTGAAGTTTCTGAACCGTCTCCGAACACTCGGAGGTGACGCTGCGAGATCTCCCAGCTCTGGGCTACGATTTCTAAAAATAATTCAAACACTGAAGTTAGACTATATGCAAATGTGGAAGTGATAGGTGGAGGTACCTCAGTTGTTCAATTTTTAAAAAATGCACAATTTCTAACGGACATCACCGCCATAGCGTAAACAAAAAAACATTGAGATAAAGCCAAATATGGGAGATTTTATGCAAAATAAACAAATTAAGAATGCTACCACAATTGTTGAGAAAATTATGATAAAATATTAAGAAAATAGTAGACCATATACACAGTAAACCGACAATCTATTATAAATATAATGTTTTAGTATTGTGTCAGTTACCCTTTTAAACGGCAATGACTATGTGCGTATTAATTTTGCAATTTTTCAGAATCAAATGCTTCCTGAAGTTGGCACACGGAAATGCCCGAACCGAGATTTAGACCTAGTCTTTAAAAAGACATAGTGTTTAAAATGTAACAGCACATTTTTGCATGATTTGATGGATTTTTACTTTTTAGAGCTGGTAACTCAAGTCATTGTTAAGAGGGCCTGTTTAAGGCCGACAGAAACGCTAGTTAACGTTACCTACGTGCACGGTGACCAAGTGTTTATGGAGAGAGGGGGTCGCCCTGACACAAATGGAGCTCCGATATTTTTGTAGTTTTTTTCTATTATTTACGTACGACAAAACCTGATTTGGTGCTTGGTTGTATTCTTGTTGTTGGAGCGTAATTTAGCATTTAGCAGAGTAATGTAAACGCGTTATATCAAAACATCAGTCATAATAAAAGCTGTTTTCACAGTTCCTATCACTCCAATTTACGCCACCATAATCCCACGCAAGTCAAACATTCGAAGGCCTCTCAGCTCACAAAGAAAATAAAAAAAATTACGAATTTTAGCTCTAATCACCCAAAACACATCTAGCAGTGACCTTTAAAAACTGAAATTGTGAAAGATGGGCCGTTCAAGGGTGTGTCCAATATTTTACTTAAATTATCACATATCAGTGTAACAATGACTGTCATCTGTGATGGTAGATATGTCTTTGTCACTCAGAAAGCTTTTGCTTTGGGGTGGGAATTACTTCTCTTTTTTGACCATTGTTTGTTAGCTAATATAGGTTTAGTGTAGTATCAGGAAGCAATAAAAGCAGACGTTTTTTTTCAATGTTGTAAAAGTACATAGAAGGAACTAGTGTGCAATGGTGGATAGGTGACTTGTTATCTCCTTTCAACCTAAGAAGGATTAAATGCTACATGTCATTTTTGTCACCTCACGTATATTTGTCAAAAGGGAGTTTTGCACCACCCACTGTGTTGCTTAGATCAATATTGAAACACATTTAAATGTGTGTTTATTTTTTAAAGAGATTAGTTTTTCTGCTCTTACCATTTGAATATCTCATTTCCCAGTGTGGTTTCCAAAACTCAGAAAATGAATGCCCCAGAAATATTATTAGAAATGATTTCCTCTCCTTGAAGGTTTTCCATGCAGGAATATAAGTAAACAGTAGGACATTTAAAGGCATTCCCTCATTCATTTCTAACTAGCCGCAATAATTCAAGGTTTTGTGTTCTATATTGCAACACAAAACTCAGTGTGCTTTTTTCACAAATGTTTTATGGCATTTTAGAATGTTTCCAAGTGGATTGTACACCGAGGGTAAGTCAAAATAAACTGCTGCACTGGGCCAGTACTGAGGTGGAGGATTAGCAGGATTAAGATTAAGCTCATCCTAACATTGAAGTAAACTCACTAAAACTGACAAATTGCTGAAAGTTGTTGGTTATTATAGAACATACTGTTGTGCCAACTGAGGAAGGAAATAGGTCCACCATTTCCTTCACTCTGTGTCAGCACCATTGTCACCAGTCCACTGTCATGCACCATCAATTTTGGCAGAATGTTGACACCACAAATTGCCTGTGGGTTGCTGTGTGTACCAGAACAAAACCATAAAATATTCTTAAAGTCATGTGCACATGCAACATTTAGTATTTTTAGTATATGATGTTGTGGCCTGTTTTATTTTGTTTCTTTCCATTTCCTCTGTTCCTCCTCTACCTATGATAGCTGCTTAACAAATAAAGCATAACGTTAACCCACAACCTGTTAGTGATGGGTGATTTCTGTGCACACGTTATATGGCTGCTACCTTGCCTGAAGTTTATTAGATGTCACATTTTGAAGGTAAATGTTTGTGAAAACCTGCAAACACAATTATCTGTGATTGTTGTTTGTGAAAACCTGCAAACACAATTATTAATCTGTGATTGTCTTATTTCTTTTTCATTTTTCACAAGTCTATTTTTTGTGACAATTACTTGCTTCTTTTGTTTTTTTTAAAACAAAAACATTTCTTTGTTAATAAGGAAATTTAAGTAAAGAATGTGGTGCAAAGCTGTAACCCCTCACTTCACTGTCCCATGCTGAGTGAAGTCATATGATCAGTACATAGCTGGTATGCTAATTTCACACATTCCCTTGGCATTGTGATGGAGATTTTGGGACATTGTTTAGCTTTGATACTTTTGTTATTTATTTTAGTTATTTAAGTAAAGGGCAGTTTTCATTTGTTTTGCTCTATTTGGATTTGATAAAAGTATATAGTCTATTAAGTCTTTAAATGTCATTAAATTACTGTTGAATCATTGGAAATCACATTTTCATACATCAAACCAACTTGGATGCTCCACATTGCAGGTTGTAGTTGTAGTTTGTTATTGTTGAGAGTCTGCATAACTTTGGGCTGAACTTTTCTTTACGCTGAAAGCACAAACATGCTTTAATCAGAGCCATCAAAGAAAAACAAAACTAGGCACTTGTGTGTGGGTTACAGGTGTGGTTACATACCTCAGGTTAAACAAACAGGTTGCATATAAATACTGTCTGTTCTCCAGACCTTTGGATTTTTAAAAACATATTTGTTGTTGTATAATATGAAGTATTTTCCATTGGTAAGATGTTTGTTTGTTTTTTTGTTTGTTTGTTTTTTGGCACACAACAGGTAGGTTTTTATTCAACAAAGCAGCACTGTAAATGTAAGATGACACATTTTCTGCCAAACCCAAGGGCTGAAGGTGTTGTTTATGTCAGAAAATCTGTAACAGTGTAGTGAGTTCTCTGTTGTTGCAGGAAGTCTTGTGGTCAGGCTGGAGTTGATTTGTTTGGTTATGTTTTGCAGGTGCATTATGATTATCTGAAACATTAGTGTTAGGACTGCCACTAATAGTTAGTGCTGCTTAAACACAGAGCATTCACTTTATTTAATAATGTTGACAATGTAATGTATGTCAAGTTTTGTGTTTTATTGAATGTTCTGTGGATACTACTGTAGTTTTATTAAAGCTGTTCATATTGTTGGCAGGAGTCAGTTCAATCTGTCATGCTGTTATTCAAGTACATATTCTTGTGCACCAGACAGTAGGAAATGGGACAATCTCAAGACATGAGGTCTACTATTAGACATGTAAATATAATTAAGAAACCAATAATAAGAACATAATAAGGCAGAACTGCTGACACCAGACAGATTGGATTGGACTTCTAAGGGTTGAACACTTTGAATAGTCCAAAAAGTGAAACATTTTCCATTGCCAGGATTTGTGCCATTTGACTCATTTTTGAGTGAAGCATGTGACATTGAAAATATCTTAAAAAATACCTTTGGCATCAACATTGAGAAGATAATTTCCTACTTGTTTTGTCAGCTGTAGAAACAGTGTGAGCCCACGTCCTCCTCAAATGCAAATGAGTGTTGTGGCCGGTCATCATTCTGTGCTGTAAAGCGACTGTTGGTAATCATCGTCAAAAGGTTGAAACTTTAAAAATGCTGTAAAGCGACTGTTGGTAATCATCATCAAAAGGTTGAAACTTATTTTTCTGAAAAAAAAATCTTCTCTGCCTTTAGGATTGGCAGCCGCCATTTGCCTGTGATGTGGAAAGATTGAAGTTCACACCACGGATACAGCGTCTTAATGAGCTAGAGGTAAATTGATTTAACGTTAACATTTCTAAGATGCATTAAATATAGTGTTTATGTCCTGTATCTAAAAATCTGTTTCATTAACTGAATGTGTTTAATTTTGTTTTTAGGCCCAGACCAGAGTTAAACTAAATTTCTTAGATAAAATAGCAAAATTCTGGGAGCTTCAGGGATGCACTCTAAAAATCCCTCATGTGGAAAGAAAGATTCTGGACCTGTACCAGCTAAATAAGGTAAGGTACTTTGCAGTTAGGTGTAAAATGAATTTCTAACATCCTCATTGTAAAGATAGAGATTTTGGTGACATATGGTCACATTCCAAGTATTGTATTAAAATATGCCTTAGTTTATTTGCTGTGGACTAATAAAAAAACGGTGACCCAAAAATGTCTGGAAATAAAAGACTGATTTTACATAGCTGACCTAGTTAAGTAGTTGACCTAAAAGTTTCTGTATTTTCTTTGTGCTCAGAAATGGAAATGTACCTGTAAACAAAATAAACATTTTTCTCCTTTTTTTTCCCCTCTTCAAAGCTGGTGAATAAAGAGGGAGGGTTCGATGCTGTTTGCAGAGAGCGACGGTGGACGAAGATATCTGTCAAGATGGGCTTCGCTCCAGGCAAAGCAATTGGCTCTCATCTGCGTGCACACTATGAGAGAATCCTGTACCCTTTTAACTTGTTCCAGATTGGAGCCAATCTGCCCGTATGTCACAAATGATTCCTTTTCACAGCAGAGCAGCACTACTATTAAACACTCACAATAGAGCAGGTTTAGAGAATTCACAGTCCAATACACTCCATTGGTTTATTATTGATGCTTTCTTTTAGCTAAGAACAGGAAAGAAGTATTTCAGTTATTATACCAAACTATAATTTGAAATGAATGAAACTGTGGCAGTTGTCACCTTCTTATACCATAAAGTTTTCCTGTTTGTTTTCACAGAAGGCTACCTTGACCAATGACACTAAAGATAAGGAGTACACCCCTCATGACCTGCCGCAGCGTCAGTCAGTCCAGCCCAAGGAGACCTGCAGTATTGCTCGCCGTGCCAAACGAATGAGATCTGAAGTGAGTCCATTCTCACATGACACTGCTCTGTGATATTTTAGAACCACGTGTGGGGATTTTTTCAATTAAGTCAGAAACAATAGTAAGACAGTAGTACGTATACATTTTGTATATTTATCACCAGATCCTTGTTTTTTCTATAAACTGAGATTAATGGATCTCCTCCTGTTTGTCCATCACTTTCATTTTACAAATCAAAGTCTGAATGCAAAGAACTACATCTGCTTATTAGATACAGGCTGTGGTCAACCATATCTAACGACAAGCTGGTCTTAAGTCAAACTGCAGCTGTGGCCTTTCTGCCCTTAAAGGGACAAACACTGTGAAAGGAATACACTGGATGTCTTGTTGCTGATGCAGTGAAATAAAGAGTTCTTTCCCTTTTTTCTCCCCTCTTCTGACACTGGCTCTGATCCTTACAGAGAGGTTATTTTAAAACTGAACCAGGAGAAGAATGTGAGAAGCGTCCCAATCTCAGGAGGAGGATGGGAACATGTGTTGCCAAATCTGAGCCTGGTAAGAAAAAAATATGGTGAAGACCAGATTTGTTTTCAGAGATGATGAGCAAAATCAGTCAGTATGTTGGAGAATTTTGGAGCCTACATTGAACCTCCATGCTTGTCTTCCAGTGAGAATGTCGGTCACAATAAAACAAGAACCCCCCGATTACACGGATTCACCAGACTTTGAAGAAACTGTAATAAATAAGAATAAGGTAGGTTTGTGCTCAACAATGTAGACAGAGCAGTGCATAACAAAATAAGCTGACCTATTGTTGGTTTGTGTGCATAGGTGGAACACTACATGTGCTTAGTCTGTGCTGGTGGAAGTGATGAGGATCGTCTGCTGTTGTGTGACGGCTGTGATGACAGTTACCACACCTACTGTCTGATTCCTCCCCTTCACGATGTTCCCAAAGGTGACTGGAGATGTCCCAAGTGCTTAGCTCAGGTGAGCTCCAAACCCGCATCATCACCACAGGGGATCTAAAGCAAGACAATAAAACCCTTAATTGGGGGCAAGAGATTTGTCTTTCCAGTGTGATGTTTACCGGTTTAGTGGAGTTTCAAGTTGCTTGTTTTCAACCTAATTTTCCATCTTTCACTTTGTTTTTCAGGAATGCGGCAAACCTCCTGTTGCGTTTGGTTTTGAGCAGGCCGGCAGAAGCTACAGCCTTCAAGCCTTTGGAGACATGGCCGACTCATTCAAGTCTGATTACTTCAACATGCCAGTTCATGTGAGATGATAACACTCATTAGCTACTGTTGGAGCAGCAGTCTCTAAAAATAAATATATATGTTTGAGCTGTCGGACACCTCACCAGCAAATCTGGCCTGATCTACCAACAATTCTAGACAACAGATGTGCTTGACAGAATTTTTTTTATAAAACTCATTTTATTTTTTAATGTTTTTTTTTCTGTAGTGTATTCAAAATAAAACTTGATTTTCTGCAGACACACTGAATTTAGGAATGATGATATCACTCAACCTGATGTTTGTTTTTTGGTAATTAGATGGTTCCCACTGAACTGGTGGAGAAAGAGTTTTGGCGTTTAGTCAGCACAATCGAGGAGGATGTCACCGTGGAGTATGGAGCAGACATTGCCTCCAAGGAGTTTGGGAGTGGCTTCCCTGTGAGAAATGGCCATTTTCAAGTCACTCCTGAGGATGAGGTACAATCTCTCTGTTGTTATGGTGATGTCATTACACACAAGTGCACCTGTTAATTAAACAAAATATATTTTTAAAAAAAAATTGTTCTCATGAGTGTGAGTTAAAATCCATGTGTTCAAACCTGTCTGAAATGCAGCATTACCTGAGCAGTGGCTGGAACCTGAACAATATGCCGGTGCTGGATGCATCGGTACTGACTCACATTACAGCAGACATCTGTGGGATGAAGTTACCCTGGCTGTATGTGGGGATGTGTTTCTCCTCCTTCTGCTGGCACATTGAAGACCACTGGAGCTACTCCATAAATTATCTTCACTGGTAAAGACCCCACACCAAACATCTGACTATAATACAAACGAAATGATCCACAGTTAAACAATTACTGTCATGTCTCCATTTCCCTGTTGATTCTTGGGTCATGATACGTCATTGTTAATAATATACAAGAGAAATGATAAAATGTGAAAGTCTAAAGTTTGACCTCATGTTCAGGGGTGAGCCGAAGACGTGGTATGGAGCTCCTGGTTATGCTGCAGAACACCTCGAGTCTGTCATGAAAAAATTGGCACCCGAGTTGTTTGAGTCCCAGCCAGATCTCCTCCACCAGTTGGTCACCATCATGAATCCCAATACACTGATGAACAACGGTGTCCCGGTAACGAGCTCAGCCTGTCTCTCTCTTCTTCATCAGACACTGCAAAAAAAAGACGTTTTTTTTTCTTTAGAATAAATATATTAATATAATATTTTATGTTTTTAATATAAAATGATGAGTGCTATTAATGAAGAGTAATGTTTTTTTTTCTTAACACTAGATCTATCGCACCAACCAGTGTGCTGGCGAGTTTGTCATCACTTTTCCACGAGCTTATCACAGTGGATTTAACCAGGGCTTCAACTTTGCTGAAGCTGTGAACTTCTGTACAATGGACTGGGTGAGAACACATTCAAATTGGATTATTCAAACTACAGAATCACGACACAGCATGTCATTTGAATCCAGGCTTTTACTGGCTTTTGTGGTCAGAACATTTTGTCTGTATGCTAATACACTAACTGCTACGTTAATCACTTTTTAATATTTTCCTTCCAGATGCCCATTGGCCGCAACTGTGTGAAACACTACCGCCAACTAAACAGGTACTGCGTGTTTTCACATGATGAAATGACCTGCAACATGGCCGCTAAAGCAGACTATATGGATGTGGACCTGGCATCAGCAGTGGAGAAGGATATGTCCACCATGGTCCAAGAAGAAGAAGAGCTGAGGGAGAAGATTATCAAATTGGTGAGCTCTCCCATTTCGTCTCCTCTTATATAGTCATCTATTTATGAAAACAGATTACATTATTTAAAGCAGTGGGCTAAACTAAACTAAGGGCTAAACTATTGGGTCGCAGGAGTTTCTATAAATCACCATAATGAAGATTTAGTTCAGCACCATGTTTGTCTCTTCTGCAGCTCTCATTGCTGTGAATTTGTCTCCCCAGGGCGTGGAGCAATCGAAGCGAGTGGACTTTGAGGTGCTCCCAGATGAGGAGCGGCAGTGCAGCAAGTGTTGGACCACCTGTTACTTGTCTGGCATCACCTGCGCCTGTACTCCTGCCAAGATGGTTTGTCTGTACCACACCCAGGATCTCTGCTCGTGTCCTCATACCAACTTGGCACTCTCGTGAGTTTCTAAAACATCAGTCTCATTTACAGTTTTTTTTTGGACGCAGTACTACTTAATAATTTAGGTAATAATTTCTCTGTGTCAAGTTACCGTAGAGGCTTTTACCCAAAATGGCACAATGTTTTGTTTCTTTCTTGTGCAGCTACAAGTTTACACTGGATGAGTTGCACAATATGATGGCGTCAGTGAAGCATCGTGCACAATCGTATAAAGTCTGGCTTTCTAATATTCAGGAGATTGTGGAGAAGAAGGAAAACAAGAAAAAAGGTTTCTAAAAAAAAGCATACAGAACAGTTGCAAAAAAAAGCCATACATGCTCCTTTAGCTGCATCATTAAAAATATTAATATAAATATAAAAATATTTATGATTTCATTTTTTTATTTCATTTTATTAGCTGCATCATTAAAAATATTAATATGATTTCATTTTTTATTTCATTTTGAATTCAAATATGTACCAAGATTTCCTATAGTATTAGTGCATGTTTTCATCATATGATTTATATATTGTAACTGTCAATGTCTAATTTTTTTTTTTTTCTGCTCAGGGTTAGAAGAGCTTCATGGTTTGATAGAACAGGCTGAAACAAAGATGTTCCCACGAAATAGCTTCCTGAAACAGCTGCAAGAAGTCACAGCAGAGGCTGATAAAGTTGCTGCGATGGCACAACAGCTTCTCAATGGGAAGAGGCAGACGAGGTACAAAAATAAACATTCAGTAGATATATCTGGAACATATACAGTACATCAGCCATGTGGATTTGTGGTATATATCAAGTCCTAATTGATGATGGGTCCTGTTTTTTCGTGTGTTTAGTTGTAATGTAACACACATTGTTCTCAGTTTCTGTTTATTTATATCCTGTTTCTCCTTCTGCTTATTTATTTATTTGTTTGTTTCGTTTTAACATCGTCGTCTTTCATTTGAAAGGTATCGATCTGGAGGAGGAAAGTCTCTAAACCAGAATGAACTGACAGTGGAGGAGCTGAGGTCCTTTGTCCAGCAGTTGGACAATCTGCCATGCACTATTCGACAAGGTCCTTTACTGAAGGTAACTAAACCCTAAAATAGGACTATATCAGTGTGCATGCTTTTCTTTTAATAACCAAGATCAAATAATTGTGGATATTTTTATACTTTATTGACTGTTTATTAAATATGACCTCCAGGACCTGTTGACACGGGTAGATGACTTCCAGCAGCGCAGTGAACATCTTCTGTCAGACGAATCTCCCAGAGCCACAGAGCTGCAGGATCTGCTGGATGCAAGTCTGGGCCTGGACGTGGAGCTGCCTCAGCTGCCTCTGCTGAGAGAGCGCCTGGAGCAGGCCCGCTGGCTGGAGGCTGTTCAGCAAGCCAGCAGCTGGCCTGAGAGCCTCTGTTTAGACACCATGAGGAGGTTGATAGACCAGGGCGTCGGTCTGGCTCCTCACAGCTCGGTGGAAAGAGCCATGGCTCGTCTGCAAGAGCTGCTGACGGTGTCTGAGCAGTGGGAAGAAAAGGCTCTCGGCCTCATTGAAGCCAGGTGAGGTCACAAAGTTGTGCTGGATCGGTTGTGTTTTCATTTTTCATCTCTCAGTTACTTTGTTGTTGTGCTTTTTTTTATTTCCCTGGACTGTTTGTGGTAAAGTAATTATCTACACTGTTCTCTAATGAACTTCATAAAGGCAATAGCTGTGTTCCTGCTCCAGTTTACAACAATCTATTTGTGTTATTTGTGCTGGGTGTGGACAGTAAATTAAATCACCAATAAATCAAACAGATGTAAATGTTTGTTACAGAAAATAGAATCCTGGGTGTCTGACTCCAAATTAAATTTTGTATTCTGTACTCTACCTACTTCAATAAACAATTAGCCCAACCTCAGCAGCAGTAACAAAGGAAATAAGAGCAGCAGGGAAAGTATTAAATATAAACATGTACATTTCAGTCTTTGGAAGTGGAACCTTTTTAAATAAATAACTATCATGGACCAGAAAATGGCTTGGTCAAATGTTGGTATTAATATTTGATACATTTCACTGACAGTTATGTTTGACCTATTTCCATGTTCCTGTTTCTCTCCAGGCCATATCACAGCCTAGAAACACTTGATGCTGCTCTGAATGAAGTTGAAAACATCCCTGCTTTTCTGCCAAACTGCCTGCAGCTGAAAGATGTAGTGGCCAAGGCCAAAAGGTGGCTGCAGGAAGCAGAAACTCTCCAGGTGAAATGACTTTCAAGTTATGCTGCATTAGGCTCAGTACCTTTAACTTTTGGCCTCATGGTGAGGTGTTGATAGTAAATTTTGTGTGACTTGATTTGCAGCTGGGTGGACGTATTCCTCTGTTGGACAGCCTCTCTGAGCTGGTTCTCAGAGCTGAAGGCATCCCCGTGAGACTCGACCCCCTGACTCGATTTGAGGCCCTTGTCACTGACGTTCAGGCCTGGAAGGAGAGTGCAGCAAAGACATTCCTAGTGAAAAACTCTCCTTTCTCTCTCCTGGAGGTAAACCAATTACTAGGTGTCACTTTTGTAAAGCTTTATAACTTGATAAAAAATGTTTTGTTTGTTATATGAGACAAATATTGTGGGGTTTTCTTTTCAGGTGCTTTGCCCCAGATGTGATTTGGGGACAGGATATCAGAGGTCAAGAACTAAGAAGGTCAAAGAGGCTTCACAGACCAGTAAAAGGTCATCATCAAAACTGGAGTCTCTTTGTGACATAGAGCGAGCGCTGTCTGAAACCAAGGACACTGCCTCTGCTGTGAGTGTAGCTGTTTACACTCAGCCAACATTTTGTTTCCACATCATTATGAAGCATTGAGTTGATGTATTTTTCTTTCAATAAATGCATTTCCTTACAGATGTCCACACTAGCTGAGGTCCGGCAGAGGGAAATGGAGATGTTGTTGTCTCTGAGAACTTCAAATGAGTCCAGGTTTTTTCCAGTTGAAAGCTGTAGCACAATTAGCGTTTGTGTTTGCCAAAAGGCCCCGTCAGGGGCCATGGTCCAGTGTGAGCTCTGTCGAGAGGTTTTCCACGGTGGCTGCGTAGAAGCCACTGATCACCACGAGTACAGCCAAGCATGGCTTTGCCCTCTTTGTCAACGATCTAGTAAACCTCCCCTGGACAAAGTTCTGCCCCTGCTCGCTTCACTGCAGAGGATCCGGGTACGACTTCCAGAAGGAGATGCCCTGCGATTTCTAATCGAGAGAACAGTACGGTGGCAGCACAGAGTACAGCAGGCCTGCACGGACGGTGTGCTGGAGAAATTGTCAAAGACGGTCAGTGTGTCGTACCTCTGTGTAAAAATAGAGGGCTGTGATGCAACTCAACATGAGGCAAAGCTGATAATTTTATTGTTACAGGCAAAAGCTGGACCCAGAATATTGTCACATCTGACTCAGGAAACAAAAGGTTCATCATTTCATGTGGAGCACCCGTCTCTCCCTCTGGACGGTCAGTGTTTATGCTTTTAAATAACATCTGTATGTGAGTTGTTTTTAGTTCTCCAATGAACCTGTCGTTATGTGTGTCACAGGACTGGGTCCAGAGCTGGATGAGCTGATGGTGGAGGGTTTCCTGCTCCAGGTCACACTGCCTGAGACTGAGCAGCTCTACAGATACCTGCTGTGCAAACTCGCCCCTCTCTCACCCTCACATCGGTCACCCGGTGGGAATCACACAGAACAGGACCAGCAGTCTCCAAAAGGGAGCCCCCATCACAAGGTAACGGAGTTACATCAAAAGCCAAGGTCACTGAAAGCACTTTGTCAGCCCCACCCTTAGTGTGTTATTAATATCTCACCTCAGAACGGAGGCTCCAGTCCCAAAAAGGAGTCTGTGAACGGTTCAGGCAAAAGGACCAAACGACGAAAAGACAGCGCAGACTCCCAGCACAGTGAGAAAGCCAAGAAGTGCCGTAAGAAGAAGCCCAAGAAGAGCAGAGAGAAAAGTGAAGACAACAAAAGGACGAGTTCTCCTTCACACACGGTGTCTGACCCTGCTCTGTCAGACTCCGAGGAGGATTACTCACTGTGTGCTGCACCATGGTGCAGGGAGCCAGAGGGTGATGAGGTGTGTTTTATACTGAGTCTATTTTTGGAGTTGATACAGGTTCTAAAAATGCTTTTACTTTTTTGGGAAGAAAAAAAAGAAAAGAAGAGGATTATTAATATTGAAACAATTCAATAGTTAAAAATTAAATCAACATTTTTGCCTTTTTTTCCAGGTGAACTGGGTCCAGTGTGATGGGAGCTGCAACCAGTGGTTTCACCAGGTCTGTGTGGGACTGTCTGCTGAACGAGCAGAGACGGAGGACTACATTTGCATAAGCTGCACACAGCCAGACTACAAAAGAGAATGAAGACCAAAAAGAGTGACTTTGAAGGATGAGCAGTTTTGTTGCTGCAGCACTTAGGTGCACACCTGAACTCTGTGTGCCCTGTGGCCCTCCCCCTCCGGACAGCCCCCCACTCTTTTTGACCTTCTGGCTTCCCCTGAGTGAACATGGTGCTATTTACTTTTACCAGACTTACAACAGACTTGTCTCACTGTTCTATCTATTCACGTGGTTGGTTTTCCAGCTAATCAACTAATCCTCTCTGAAACTTTCCATGACTGAATGCAGATAAGCAAGATGACAAAACATTTTGGAAAAAAAAACAACAACCAGGGATATTTTTCAACCAAAAATAGACAATTTGACATCAAATTTTATAAGCCTTTTGCTTTTTTTTTTTACAATGTGAAAGTTAACATTCTCTTGTAGATTAAATATTATTTATCAAAGCAATAACTGGACTGAAGTTCAGTTTTCAGCAGACTCACATTTTTGCTTGGATGGAGCCTAATTTCTGAAGAATTCATTAAATGAATCCTCACAATTACACTTTGAATGTGTGAACAAATCTAATCAGAAATAGATGGATTGACAACTGAATATCTCCGCTTGTTTATCCCAATGTGCGAAGAATAGCAACTAATTATTTTCCCTTTTTTCCTTTTTGAAATGTCACTGGCTTTGCTCTTAGATCAGGTTTCCCCTTTGCTCTGTCTGCACACACTTGAATCATGAGCACTGGATCCGTAGTTTATGGTGACGGGGTGAGACTTGATGGTGGGCACAAGGTCGAATGAACTGTCCGACATTAAAGGAATGTACATTTTGTTTTCGGGTGGATTTTTCCCTTTATATGGTTTAGAATGAATATATGTTTGACTTAGTTTCTACGCAGACTGTGTGATTAATTTACCGATGGTAAATTACCTTTTTGTGCTCCTTTGGGTAAATAATATAATTCATATGTTCCAGTTTGCATTATAAAATAAAAGTTTGTTCCCATTTGGCTGAACTTCTCTATATTTCTGAACACCATCTGGTTATGTAAATGAACCGTACTAAAACAGGTGCAGAAACTTTACAAACATCCATCACCACAGTTCCCTGTTGCGTAAACATCATCATTCTCTTTGACTCGGTGATTAGTTAAGAACTGACATTTGACCAAAACTTTAATCACTTAACAAATTAGTTAAATTGGTCCCATAATGGACATCAAGTTTAAACTTGAATCAATGTATTAAGATGGAGTAAGTGTGTGCCAAAAACATCCTATTTAAACATGAAAGCATTACAGTTGGGAAGCTGTCCCTTGCCAACTGTGATGTAGTAAGAGGAAGTGAATCTTTCAAAAGAGCCAAAAAGTCAGCCTTGGTCTACTGTGAAATTAACCAGCATTTCTTCTATCAGTCATATTCAACATCCCAATTGTATCAATTAATCACATTAATTTCTATTTCTAATTGTATGTCACTTTACGATGCAAACAGGCAAGAAACAATAGAAGTTTAAAAAGTCAGCGCAGGTTTTTATTATTAACGGTCGTTAACGGTTGATTTAAAAGTTTTGATTAACGGTCGTTAACGGTTGATTTAAAAGGTATGTTTTGATGTTTTTGTTTAAGTAGTGCAAGGAATTGCTCAATTGCTGTTTAATTAAAAAAAGAACAGTCGCATATCCCGTGACTCTTCTGCTCGTGACGCAACAACCGGAAAGTGACCATGATGAAAAAGTACAGTCACTCATAAGAGTATTAATGTACAGTATTAGACGTCACCATCGTCGGTCCCTGACAAGGCCTTACTTTTGGGCTTCAGTTACCCGCCACTAGGGGGTGTGGTTCACGCTCGCTATATACGTTTCTACTTGTTGTTAACCATATCTCCAAAGAAGCTATTGCTTACCGCCATAGTTTCTTAACACAAAAACACACAACCACGTGTTTGTTGCATTTGGGTTTTAATATTTCACCCCGTAATCATGGAGAAGGAATACTACACTGGCGCTGCAGAGTGGGAAGGCACCGAGACGAACGCGGTGAGAGATTGTCAATTACCGACTGTTAAGTGGAGTTAGCTTTACTGCAGTTTTAACGTCTGCTCGTTTGTTCGTCATAACTAAGCACCGACGCCCAGGCAACATATAGAATGGCGACATATTTGAACACTCGCCAGTACCGTTTAAATCATTTTTAAAAGCACGGTCAGAGTATCGTTTTGGTTAGCAGTGGCTAGCTAAGGATAGCTAACCTGCTAACCGTCACGGGTAGGTTGTAGCGCACAGCTAAGGGTAACGTTAGCTAGCATCACAGAGAACTTACATTACAAAACACAATGTAATGTACAACTACTTCTGAACGCAACTTAATGTTTATGAAACGCTTGCAACTATTCAGACTAAATCAGTTTTAAGAAAACACAACAGTGACACTGATTACACTAAAGGAATGAGTCATTAGTGTAGTAGACTTTAGAGACTCGGTCATAACTGGTCCGATTAGAAAAACAAAAAACATTTCTTTCACATTCTAGATTATGTCCGTTGTCTAATTTGTTCTCATTAGCATCATTTATTTCATTGATTATTTTGTGTAAAGATAAAGTAGTCGTGTTAACAATATTTAACTGAGTTAACATGGCTATAATAGTATTAAAAACGTTGTTTTAATTGTTTTATATGTAATATAATAACATTTTCAGGAAGATGCTTACGTAGACGATGGAGTAATCCAGGAAGACTGTTTGACTAAGTTTTCCAGCAGGGACTACATCATGGAGCCTGCAATCTTCAACACCCTCACAAGGTAAGTGCTGGTCTGCTGTTGTAACAAACTTTATAAAATATATATTTAAAAAAATAAACCCCCCAAAACTATAGGGTTTAATGAACACAAAGTGCAAACTTAAGAGGCATCTTTTCATTCCCAGGTATTTCCGAGCAGGTGGCTCTCCAGAACATGTCATCCAGCTTCTGTCAGAAAACTACTCTGCTGTGGCTCAGACTGTTAACCTGCTGGCAGAGTGGCTCATTCAAATGGGTAGGTATCAGAATAAAATGGGTTGCAACACAATTTAATAGTAGTGTGTACTGTAAATGCAATGCCAAATTCTCTGTTCTATATGATTACTATATTATCTATATTATTATTACTACTATTTCTTCAGGTGTGGAGCCTGCTCAGGTCCAAGAGAGAGTAGAAAACCACCTGAAGAGTCTCCTGATAAAACACTTTGACCCGCAGAAAGCAGATTCCATTTTCACTGTGGAGGGAGAGGTGAGAGATTTTTCTTTAAATCATGAGCATCTTGTTAAAAAAAAGGGGCAAACCATTCTTGATGTTAAATTGTCAGCGGGCAAGACGGTGAGTTTTTGAATACATAACAAATCCAGTCTGCTGTGGTTTTAGACTCCAGCTTGGCTGGAACAGATGATTGCCCACACAACATGGAGAGACCTGTTCTATAAGCTGGCAGAAGCTCACCCTGACTGTCTGATGCTCAACTTCACTGTGAAGGTATAACTCACTGGACACAAAATTAGTTTAAAATAGCTTTTCCGATTGACAATTCAAGCACAGCTAGAGTGACTGTCTGACTGATGTAACAACAGGAATTAAATAAACATCTTTAGGCTACAACAAGCTCAATTGAGATGAAGTATTGTGTGTAGTATTTATATAAAAGCATTGGTTAATGTTTAAATGCTTTTATTTTTAAAGAACCTTCGATGATATTTATATTTTAGCAGGAAGTTGACTTACGTGTCCTCTTTTTCTTCAGCTTATTTCAGATGCTGGGTACCAGGGAGAGATCACCAGCGTGTCCACTGCATGTCAACAGCTGGAGGTTTTCTCTCGGGTGCTGCGGACATCTTTGGCCACACTGTTGGACGGGGGAGAGGAGAACCTGGAGAAGAACCTGCCAGAGTTTGCTGTGAGGCATCATTTAGTTTATTATCTGTAAACGAAATAATAAAATCAATGGGTTGTGCACAAAAAAACAACTGTCTATACTTCTAGTGCTTTAATCAGTTTTTTTTGCTTTGGTTTTTCATTAGTATTAAGCTTTTTAAACTTTGTGATGTTCTTTATCTATATTATTTTAAAAATATTATATATAATATTAATATAGCTTTTTTCTTTCTCATTTGATATAGGAGAATACCTTTAAATATAATAACATTATGTCTTAAAATATTTTTTGTTTAATTGTGAATCTGTCTCAAAGAAATGAGGAAATCTTGACTCTGTGTTTGTTGGTCTCTCCTGTAGAAGATGGTGTGTCATGGCGAGCACACATACCTTTTTGCCCAGGCGATGATGTCCATCTTGGCCCAGGAGGAACAGGGGGGATCTGCTGTCCGCAGGATTGGCCAAGAGGTGCAGAAGTCTGCACATGAGAGGTACAGCTCTTATACATTCTTTTTTTTTTGTTTTGTTTGCCTAACCCTAAGAATCAGGACAATTTAGCAAAGCATTGAAACTGGAACAGTGACAGCCAGTTTTATAATGTTCTTTCTGTCTCAGAGGACACGATGCCAGTCAGATAACCCTTGCTCTGGGCACAGCGGCGGCCTACCCTCGTGCATGCCAAGCCCTCGGTGCCATGTTGTCTAAAGGAGCCTTGAATCCTGCTGACATCACAGTCCTGTTTAAGATGTTCAGCAGCATGGACCCTCCCCCTGTAGAGCTGGTGAGGGCAAAGTCTTTTTTTTTTTTTTTTTTTTAAACCTGTTTAGGCAAAAAAAAAATCATGATTAGTTAGGGAAAACTGATGACTGTTGGTCTTTCCCTGCCTTTAGATCAGAGTCCCTGCTTTTCTGGACCTGTTCATGCAGTCACTCTTTAAGCCAGGATCAAAGATCAACCAAGACCATAAACACAAATACATCCACATCCTGGCCTACGCAGCAAGTGTGGTGGAGACATGGAAAAAGGTACAGAACAAAGAGAAACACCTGGATCATGATCACTCCTCATCAGCGTCTTAGGCTCCATTTTCAAACTTTTGTCACTTGTTTTAATTGCAGAACAAGCGAGTGAATATAAACAAAGATGAGCACAAGTCTACTTCAAAGGCCATAGAGACGGTGCACAACCTGTGCTGCAATGAGAACAAAGGAGCCACAGAGCTGGTGGCTGAACTCGGCACGTTGTACCAGTGCATCCGGTGAGAGGAGCCTGACTCTAAACCAAACTGTTTCTCATTATTATTATTATTATTATTATTATAGGAAAGTGTTCATTATAGAAACTAATAAATAGTCCTGAGCGTAGAGACACCCCTGTGACTTCCTTGGTATGTTTTCAGTTTCCCAGTTGTTGCCATGGGGGTTTTAAAGTGGGTGGACTGGACGGTTTCTGAGCCACGATACTTCCAGCTGCAGACTGATCACACCCCGGTACATTTAGCTCTGCTGGATGAGGTAGGATTTTACAGAACCAAGATCGGGGTTATAGTTTTGCAGACTTGATGTGAATGACTTCATCATCATTATCCTCCTTCTCCTTCTCCTTCTCTGCACAGATCTCCACGTGTCACCAGCTGCTGCACCCACAGGTGCTGCAGCTGCTCATCAAACTCTTTGAGACCGAGCACTCTCAGCTGGACGTAATGGAGCAGGTGAGTATTTGCCAAATTTCCACATGTTGTTGCCATCATTTCACTTTCAGCTGACTGCATGTTTCTTGTCTCACAACCCATCCCACCCTCCACCCCTCGATCAGCTGGAGCTGAAGAAGACTCTGCTGGACCGGATGGTTCACCTGCTGAGCCGTGGCTACGTCCTGCCTGTAGTTGGTTACATCCGCAGGTGTCTGGAGAAACTCAACACGGATATTTCTCTCATTAGATACTTTGTGACTGAGGTAACTGCAGTTTTTTCCACTTTCATTAGTGGTGAGGAAATTAAACACGAGACAGGAAGAAACTCGAAAGGAACATTGGCTGCTGGAGGCACTTCACCGAGTTCACCGAGTATGGGTTATTGAAAATAAGCCCAGTCATGTTGTGTTAGTTCAGTGATGAATAGAGTCTGTTGTTGGGGTCTGATGAATGTGTCTTAAACTTATATAAATCTTGGTGTTCTGTTTGCAACAAACAACACGCAGCTCCCCTCCTTCACCTGCGGGTGTTGCTATAAATCAATCAAAAACTGCAGGTGTTGCTATAAATCAATCAAACCAAAAAAAACCAAAATAACTTTAAAATACATTCTAGACACTTCACACAACAACACTGTTGTTTGTCAGTAACAGAACAGACTGAGGCCATCATTAACAGCTGCCACAGAAAGAATGTTAAAACCACATTCATTTCAGCGAAGCTAATCCCACTAAACTATTCTTTGCGCTTATTTTCTTTAAGTTTTAACAGCATCTGTCAGGGATTAAATGTTATTATTTAAACGTTTCCACCTTAAAAATCATCCTTTAAATTCCAGCATGTGTTTTTATTAAGGTGCTGGATGTGATTGCGCCTCCCTACACATCGGACTTTGTTCAGCTGTTCCTCCCGATCCTGGAGAACGACAGCATCGCAGGGACGATACGCACAGAGGGCGAACACGACCCTGTTGCCGAGTTCATCGGTGAGTGATGCTGCCGTCGACTTTCTGCTTTTGTTTATTGTCAAGTGTTTTTTGGATGTTGTTTACTGTCGCCTCCTGTTAGCTCTAGCATCAACATGTTTACAGCCAATGAATGTACTGTTCTGAATATAGCCAGGGTGAAACATAGACTAACATCAGCACGAAAAATAATGAAATTCTCTTCCGAATTTTTTTTTCAGCTCATTGCAAGTCAAACTTCATCATGATCAACTGACGTGGAAGTGGAAACCTGTGAGTAACGCGTGAGTACAAACATGGACTAACTGTGACAGGAGATCTGGGATCTCTACACTAAGTGGTCTGCAGGAGGCATATCACTGAGATGGACCATTTATTTTCACCAAGTGAATGAGAATTTTTTTTTACTCTTAAGCACTGTGTTGTTGGACAGAGACTGGTTTGACAGAAGATGCAGCTACATGTTGTTGTTTTTTTTTTTTGTCAAAGAAGGCAAAGTGATATTAGCATTTTAAATTCTCTGTCTGTCCTGTGTTCTATGTTGGGTTGGTAACAGGTAACCTGTGGTACTGCAGCCAGCCCTTGTTTCTTTTTTTTTTTTTTTGTTTTAAATTGCTTTGTAAAAAAAACTAAATTTATGTTTTTGAGCAGGGTTCTGACACTCCTGGCCCGTGGGCCACACTGTACCTTTACCGTGTATTTATGTGGCTCTTAAAATAATTTATCTGAATGTTTAATGTTTACAGGAAACATTGTGAATGATAAAAAAATAATTATCTGGTGGGAGACTGGTGTTCAAGTCTACAGTGGTTCAGCATTAAAACATTTTGTTGAAATGGATGTTAACATAAGTTAGCAGAATAAATTGAGTTACGACCAGGAAAACTGTACTGGAATGTTGTCCTTTGACGATGAACAAAGTGGCCTTTAGTGAAGGTTGAGAACCCTGCTTTAGTCAATTTGTTTTAAATTAAATTGTCTGCATCAAATGATAATCTGCTGTATTCTTTTTTTTTTCTTTACAAAAAAATGTAATAATTGCTCTTAGATAACTGGCGTACAGTGTGGTCAAATAAGAAGAAGTTTATATAAAAGCTAATCTTACAGGCAAAGTTCTGAAGTGATGATTAAGAAACCTTGCGATAAACTTTGTTAAATGGAACTAAATATTAAAATATAAAATAGTTTTGAAGGAAGAATATCTTTAAACAATGTTCCATCATTTTCAATGTTTATTGGCATCAATGAAAATTAAGGCAGCTTACAAAATACAAAAAATCAAAGGCACATTTATCTTTAAGGTCTGTGAACAAATGTATTACACTTGGATCTCAAACGATCTCAAGTGTAATTTATCACATGACTGGAAATCACAGCCTGCAGGACAGGAAACGCACTTGTGTTTTACCTAACGCCTGTGTAGAGTGTATTCATCTGAGTTCATTAACACTGAAACAGTGGTTGAATCTGTCCATGAGACAGAAATCTGATTTATAAAAACAAATTAAAAGCCTGTGCAAAAAGCATTGATTCACATAATACAAAGGTAATCTGATTACAAGTTTTAAAAAAAAAAATCCCTTTTTCAGCTTTGGTATTTCTAATGCAGCCTCATCTAGTAATGGGCTTTAGAAACTATGGGGTCTCCATACATACAGTCTTCCTCCACTGCCAGGTTGTAAGTGCTGCCACTACCTCCCTTGTAGGCACTGGTCACGATTCGCAGCCAGCCGCTCTCACCCTGGGGCAAATAAAAAAAAAGATGAAGAATTCTCATCCTGCAGTAGGTTTAGTCATTTGTTCTAGGGCATTTATCATAGTTTTTCTATATTTTCTTCAGGGCCAGGAGAGTGATGCACTAATTCTAACTGTAACATTGAACTGGCCGAACAACAGCTCCTACTTTCAGCTTTCACTGCCTGATCGATAACTTACCCACGGCTCTCCCCAGGAGTTGCGCACCACCCAGTATTCCACACCGTTCTCCACGCCCCAACCTGCCACAGACACGATGTGGTTGATAAAGGGGCTCTCTTGGTATTCAGAGTAGAGACCCCCGCTGTACGCATCCAGCTTCTCAGTGGCCATGATCCCACAGCTGGAGAAAAAACAAATATATATAATAAAATGAGTCATTGGGAGGCGACCTTTGTTGCTACATCAACCTTCTTCCTAAGACATTCTTGTCAACTTCTTTCTCTCAAACTGTGTGTTTTTGTAGCAGTGGTTCATTAGTTTGTTCGGCAGCTGAATGTTGGTTACATTTGAGGTGTTAACCTGCCTGAGCTGAATCTGTAACCAATCAAGTCTTTGTATTTTAGCTTGCACAGCTTTTCTGATCTTTATGGCTCTGAGGAACTCAATAACTAAAATGTGACGATTCTGCATTTTTTGAAGAGGTGAGTGAGTGAAACAGTCCAGGAACATAGGGATTTTTTTTTATTTATCTTTAAATGTTTTGATTGAATCTGTCTTATGACCTTGAGTTTTTGGCATATTTTAAATTTTCAAGTCTGGGTCAGCAGCAAATGATTTGGAAAATAATCATATAAAATAATATTTACGCTAAATCGTTATAGCTGACAATGTTTCGATGTTCAGGTCGTTTTACCTGATCGGTCCTCGGGCGTAGATCTCTGCCATCATCTTCTCTCTCCCGCTCACATCTCCATAATCTCCTACTTTCCACAGGGTGAAGTTCTTCACCACATTACACACTCCAAAGGTGGTGCAGGTGCCACATTGATTGAAGGGTTTGCAACCTGTAGGAAGACAGAAAGGTCACACGCACAGCTCGGGTTCCGGACCTCATCAGAACCGCAGACGTGGGTCGTGGTCCTCTAACACTCACTCTGGTCTTTGGCCTGGTAGTTGTTGCAGGTCTCATCTGGGATACCGTGTTTGTTGGCGTACTCCCAAACCCCGGAGTGATCCCCGCCGTGGCAGGAGCCGGCCTCACCGCAGTCGATCACATGCTGGACCGACAGGTAGGCGGACGGCCACGCTGCTTTGCGCGAAAAAACAATGCGGTCTGATGAGGGTGAGGATGAGGGTAGGAATGAGAAAACACATTTACAAAATTCAATTTTAATTATGAGGAATAAGGAAGTGAAAGCAGATCAGTGTCGACTCGTACCTGCCATAGCGCTGGTGCTGCCGTGGGCCCAGCACGAGCCGCAGTACTGAGGTATGTGCTGGTTGCGGGTCGTGCTGACGTAGTTAACGCCATTAATATTCCTCCAGTCCCACGATTTGGGCAAATCAGATACATTTATATACTCATGAGGTCGAGGAACGGTCCTGAAATTAAACGGAGATTTTCTTTTTTTAAAAAATGTTTGTTTACTCCAATGGTGTCATGGGTGGAAACTTAACTTGGTTAATAAGAGAGACTGTAAGCTGTATAATACAGCTACCGCTAAAATTAGTTACTATTTAAAATAGTGTTTAAGCAGACACACTGACAGTACAGCAGGAGACTGGAGTACGACTGGAACACGTTTCAGGGTCGTAGTATGGTCAACAACAACAGTCCTGGGGTGAGGGTCTGTCACGGAGCCAAATACAATGAACAACCGTTCACACTAAAACTCATACCTATAAAGGTTCGTGTTGGGATATTTTCCCTTAACGTCTGTCGGGTTTTTTCCCCCCTCAGTGTGAAATAGAGATTTGAAGCTTGCAATAAGGTAATACGTTAGTTTGTGATATACTGAAACTGCAAAAATACAACGAATAATGTTGTTAGCTTAGCTCAGGGCTAATCTATGATCGTTTCATAATGATGCATCATAACTGACAACTTAAGCATTATCGTGTAAAGAGGAAGTCATGTCTGTATTATGCAATAGTGAATTTAATTATTTTAAACGTTATTTTAAAGATGAAAGTCAAAACTTATTTTTTTATCAATGTTATTTTTTTAAAGATGAAAGTCAAAACTTATTTTTTATCAAAATGTTATTTTTTTAAAGGAATAAACTATAAATTAAACATTTGGTGTCATACAATTATTAAACCACTAATTTGTTTACACAATATTTGCGCTAACGTTTTGTTACAGTCTTGGTGATGGATTTTTTATTTACGTTATTCATACGTAGGTTTGAAAATTAACTGTTGTATGTAAAAATGTAATGTTTAAAAATAACTTTATTTCCCTAATGTGTCATTCTTTTAGAAGGAAACACATGTACTTTATTTAACTTCCCCAACATGTGACACATGAGGAAACCTCGTGATGTTGTCGAGAAGTCATAATAAATATGCCTTACACTAATTCAGTTGGTTTCTATTTCACTACTAAGTTTTTCTTTTCTCTTTTTTCTTTAAAATGCTGCTGTTACAAAGAAAACAAATAACTTTTATTTTCCTCACGTTACACAAACTGACTTTGCAGAGAAACCTCCAGAAATCAGTTGAACTTACTGCTGCCCGAAGTTGTGCCTCCTTGGTGTGCGGACGTAGCAGGACTCTTCCGGGCTGAAGAAGCGTCCAGCGGCGGCTATGGTCAACAGCGCGGACAGAAAGGCAACAAACAGTGGGACTCTGCGGGCCATCGCAGCGAGAGAGCAGTAAACAGAGCGATGAACGACCCCAAAAGTGTGAGCATCCACCGAGTCACTCCAGGAAAACCGGCGACCGCGTCATGTGATCACGGAAACTCAGCTATTATACGTCAGAGTCCAATCACAGCCAATCCACTGCATATCCGCCTTCAAAATTGGAATCTCGGAACTAGACCGGAAGTTGTTGTGATCGTGAGTAAAATATTTTTACATTTTATGTAAATGTTGCTGTTTTTTCCCTAATGTATAATTGCACTAGATGTTTTCTGATTCAATTTTAACCAACTCACCCCACGAAGCTATCTAGCTTAAATGTTTTCAGCACCTAAGAAATAAAAGAGAAATACCCTGTGGCCGTTCGTGGTAGTACAACAGAAATTCTCATGCCTCCCTAAAACACTGCTCAGGCTTTTTTTTTAAATCAACTTTGTACAACTGTAATTTTTCAGTAAAAGTAACCAAACTAACCATGTTGACAAAATCAGCATACATCTTCCTGATGATGTTATGTTCCCAGACAAAATCAGCATACATCTTCCTGATGTTCCCGAATATGAATAATAGGCTTTCAGAATCAAACTCAGAATTGGCCCATAGTAAATACCATTAACAAAGAAACACTACTATTGTATTCTGCTATAGTGTGGTAATTGATAAAGTGCGTGTGCATCTACAGTAGAATGAATGTTTATTGGTTTCCTATCAAATTCAGTACTTGATCAGCCTAACCAATACAACCAGAAAATCCTGTTTTGACACATGCACATACATAATGTCAACCTCCCTGAGTTTCTTTTATAACAATGAAGCAGCATTCCATTTTAACTAATGCAACACCGTCTGCTGTACTGTATGTTGTCCAGGGATCATTTACCTTACAAATCAGAAGCTAAAATCAAACGGTTTAGTAGAGTTCACTTGAGTCACAAGTAAATCTTTAAATTTTATTTTATTTGTGGGTGATTATAAAAACTTGCTGAGAGGACAAACGGTTTTACACATTTCTTCACACATCAATCAAACAACACTGTCTTTTAATGAATAACACCAGGACTGTCACAAACAGCAGTCACCTACACAGTTAACCTTTTGAACATGCACGACTCTGTTGACAAATCACATGTAGCACCTGTGAAACTTGAAATCTGTGGTTACCAGAGATCACTCAGCCTCAATAGTCACAGGTTATTTACAAATGCAGTGAATACAAAAAAGGTAAAAGGGTTTTACTGATACATTGTGACATCACCCTCAAGTTTCTTTAAGAGTCAACTTGTATGGTCTACAGGGGAGCACATGAAAGCAAAGTGCACGTTTTAGCTAGTAGAAAAAGAAAATCAACAGGAAAATATCAATTTGTGTCAGTGCGGGGGCCACCGATTTATGAAGACAAATGATTTACTGATGATTATTTATTTCATTACTACAAATTTATTTGAGGGAAGTTGCATCAGTTCTTCGTGCCTGTGTGTGTTTTGTGTCAGAAGAACAGTTAGATCAGGGAGTGAACGGCCTTTCTACACCAGTCTTCGTCTTTTGCAGTCTCGCTCCATCTGGTCTCCAGACATGTTGGTGGCTGCCTCCAGAGGAGAGACCTTGTTCAGCATGCAGTCGTCTGATGCCTGACCGAACAGAGCCATCAGCAGGGCGACACCGAATCCTGTGGCACGCTCTCCCTGAACAGATGAAACCAAAAAGACGGATCAGATCACAATACAGCTGTGTTAAAGTAAGGATCGTTTTCACCTTTCAACAAGGTCACTGAAACACAAAGCTTAATGTTGCATCAAAACTGTTTATTCAAATGGCAACTATTATTCTTCAGTTATGAAGAGTTGACAGAATATAACAACAGACTTTAAACAATTATAAGGCAACAGGAAACGGGGGTAAAATGTGTTTATATCACCATAAAACATAATTATGAGAAACTTCTATTTCTGAGGCATATCTTATTTGGAATATTACATGTGCGGTTTGTTTAACCTATTAAAAAAAAAAAAAACTACTCACAGCATGGACAGGAGAAGCGATATCAACATGGACCCAGACACCAGGCCAGTCGAAGCCCAGGTGGGAACCAATAAAGAGGCCGGCACAGGAGCTCTGGGCGTTCTCTCGATCCTGTCATAAGACACCAGAACAAATCTCAGGTCACCTCCAGAGTGTGTAGTTGCGTTGAAAACATTATTTGGATGCGTGACATCTGAGTAATTTAATCTACCATGTGCAACTAAACAACATTCAAATAGCTTTGTTGTGACTGAGGAAGTACTTTTTTTTACTGACGTCATCATACTGAGAAGTGCTTATTGATTTTATACTACTGTGGAGAGAAGGAAAGGTATCATTTCCGAAGCCTTGTTAGTCTGAATTGTGTTTTCATTTTTCACTTACTGCCACAGAGTTCTTCATGTCGGCCATGGCAGACGTGAACTCACTGAAGTGCAGCTCAGGGCAGTAAACCAGAGGATGAGTGAGATCTCCACTGCTGCGGCCTGCACGCACACAGGCCAACTCCCACTGCTCACTGTTCGTCATCACAGCTGCGTGGTACTTTCCTGTGGAGATTCCCTGGATGACAACAAAAAGACAGGTTTCTCAAGCGGAGGCTACACCTGTTCACTGTTGTTTGGCTCTTGGAATAAAAACCTAAATTATTATTTACTGGTTTTGGTTTCAGTATTGGTAAAATGCACAAGTGAAAAGTCTCCACCATAGATTTGATCACAATCACCAACCTGTGCCCCTGTCAAAGTTGCCATATCCAAAATGATGTCAGCAGCCAGGTCTTTGCTGGCATACACCACGCCATCAGCCAGCACCAACCTGCCCTCCGCATCAGTGTTGTTGATCTCCACTGTCCTAAAGAAAAGGGAGAAGCAACCGTTTACCATCAAGCTGTGAGTAAAGCCACTTTTGTCCTTTGTCATATAAAATAAACATATTTGTCACGACTCACTTTCCAGAGTAGAGTGTGTGGATGTCGTCAGGTCGGGTGGCTGTGGGTCCAACAGAATTCTCGGCAAGACAAAACACTGCATGGAGATTATCCTTAAAGCCCTGAACAAACAAATTAGGGATGAAACACGTGATGCTGAAGGTTTTCTCAGAGTAGAGAGTGATTTCAGTGCACAATAAATCACATTACCTGTTTAATGGTAGCTTTAAAGGCTCCCAGAATAGCAGCTGCTCCACCACAGTCTCTCTTCATTCCTGGCATTGTGGTCTGGGGAAAAAAGGAGAATGTTGTCTTGTGTTTAAGATGGAAGTGTACAAGTGTAGAGGAGTCACGATTATTCAGAAGTGTCTATTGATTCAGGCAGAGATGTAGTAAAAATAACTGCAGTTTTCTGTGTCTTTTTCAAGGATCAAACATCTGAAGACATAACACGAGTTGAGTTTGGAAGTTTAGATCAGTCCTGTAAAATGATTTGTGTTTAACCAGGACTTGTTGATATATATATATAACTTCAATTTCTGTCACTTCTCCAAGCCAAAAAAATAAAACTCACAAAAAGAAATCTTAAGTACCTTTCCCTTGATGCTGAGTCCACCGGTGTCGTACACAATGCCTTTGCCAACCCATGCAATTGTTTGTGTTGCACCTTCAGGGGTGTGGCTCAGGACAGCTAAGGCTGGAGGATGCTCTGCAGCTTTCCCAACTCCATAAATACCTGACAAAAAGACCTCAGGTAAATCATATCTAGTGACAGGTAGTAATGTGTCAATCTGAGTGAATACACAACAGTTGAATAGACTCATGTGATTTAAAAGGCATGTGATTTTTCTCTCTCAAAATAGTTAATTTAATAGGTTTACTAGAGAACTTTATTTAGATTTTGTTTTTAATTGAAAACGGTGGCCCTTCATGATAAGATCATCTTAATCCAACTACTTTATTAAGTCACAAACTTAATTTAAGAAAATTCTCATGATGGCATAAAATATGGTCCCACTGACACTCTACCTCCAAAGCCTTTCTGTTTCAGATCCTCTCCCTGAATAATTACAGGAGTGATTCCAAGTTCTGTCCCCACAGCTCTGATCTCCTAAAACACAAATAAGTAAATCAGTCAGATTTGAATATCAAGACAAACTTTAAGAACCTGCAAAAATGAGAATGAACAGAATATCTTTCCCCTCACATCCAAGAAATGGTCCGTATTCATCTCGTTACAAGGCGTGTCCACAATACGGGCCGCCAACCGGAGTCCTTCAGCAGCGTTTGAGAGACACTGAACACAGAAGAGCCTGGAGCTTAGTATGAAAAGGACGTGAAATGCTTCAGAGAAAAGTCAGACCGTTACCTTCAGTTCTGCTTCATCCAGAGGACTGCTTTCTTGTCCAATTATAACAAACTCAATGGTCACATGTTTTTTCTCAGACCTACGTGAAGATGTTGAACGGCGAGAAAAAATGGAAAAGGCCCTGGCGATGGCACATGAGGATGCAAATACGTCTGGGCGCTCACACACCATCTGCGGAAGAAAAAGTCATGTTAGCCAATGGGTCACAAAACCCTGATGTGATCTTCATATATGAAGTCTTCATCATTGTAAATCAAAGACGTGAGTTGTTTTGTTTTCATTCCATTGTTCTTCAGAAATATATTCCCTAATTAAATTAAAATGCAATCAAGGACACTGACCACGATGCAGCGGTTGTTTCCTCCAGGCAGGCATGATCGGACCAGACGGGACAGAAACTGGGCAGAGGACGGGCTGTTGTGCCTGCTGACCCGTGAAGGAAGGGCAGCCACTGCAGCATGATTGAGGTACAGAGGGCAACTGTCTGTGGGGTTTGGGTTCAAAGCATTGAGTGCTGCCTGCCAAATCTGAAAATCATGGACAAAAATGTTCGTGACATGTTAGCGTTGTTACACTTTAACAACTTCAAGTTGTCCTTGTGATAAAGATGGCTGACCAGAGCACAGCCGTAGTACTTGAAGTATTTGAATGACGTATGAGGCCTGTATCCTTAGTCATAGCTATAAACGTTTTTTTTAACTGTACATACAACAGGACTGCATACACATGTTAATTCTGGGATCTGAAAAGCATTAATATTTAGGTCTTATAGATAGACAAGGGAGCGACAGACAGCGCCTCATCTACTATCATATTCTACAAAAACAAAATCAGCACTCAAGCAACGGAGTAATAAACATGTTGAGTAATCCTTGATAGAAGATATGGATGAGCACAGAGAATGACTGGGTGTTGTTTTCTGACCTCTCTGACTCACTCAAGTCCCTGTTAATAATTATGCACACTCAACTCTGAGGACTTTGCAAAAAAAATTGCTGCCCACAGCTTAGCAGTATTCAGTAGTATTGTTGTGTATTTGTGCAGCTCTAGCCACTTTTTCCCTTCTCTGTCTAGGGAAGGTGTGGAGGAACATAAAGTCGTCTATTGTTCTGGAAATGTATTTGCTATGGATAATTACGCAGTAAATTCTTACAGGCGTGCATTTAAAACTGCAAAAAGTGTCTGCTGTGACGTCATTTGCGTTGTAATTGATGTATCAAAGAAAATAAATTATCTGGATGGACAAGCATGGTACTAAATAAACCACACAATTATAAGAAAGATTAAAGTATCGACACTAATTACATAGCGTTGCAAATAGCCTTAGTTAAATATCCCTATAAAATGACTAACAGAAACTTAAGTTAAACTTAAACTAGCATTTAAAAATTGCACAAATGCAACTATTACCCGCACACGTCATCGTCTCAATTATTGACTATAAAATATAATTTAGTTTAAGCCCCGAAAAGGAATTGGGGAAATCAATTTCATTCAAATTAGACTGTTTTGACGTGAAGTTCATTTTCAACGTCAGCCGTTAATAAGTTCCTTATTCTAGCTAGCTAGCTAGTTAGTTAGCACGGCAGTTGTTTTAACATATAGTTAATATCTCGTTGCACTCTTGACGCTACCACTGATGAATTTACTATAATAACTTTAGACTAAACTGGTCTCTTTGTCTTACTGAGTTAGTGGAATAATATGACCTGTCACTCATTACGTACCTCTTTGCTAACGACAGGCTGCAATTTCCCTTTGATTTGGCTCCAGCTGACCTGCTGCAGGTTGGCCTGCTGCCCGACGATCAGGACCGGACGATTCTGAGGCTCCGAGTCGCCGGCAGAAGCCTTGAACTCCAACACCACGTTCGACATTTTTGGAACCTGCTAAAGTGAGGCAGGGATCAGCGACAATTGCCTGCCGAGGACAGCAGTCAAGTGAAAGACAAACTGCTGTTTCACTCAGGCAGCCGTTACCGGCGACGGCGCGCACGAGAGGACAAAAGGGATTTCGCTCCGTGAGTTACAATTATTAATTTGCACAAAATTGACCTCTAGTGGCCATAAGTGTATTTCACGAAGTAACGTTAGGGCTTTTAAATATCGATTATCCTAGCTTTTATTTCATACGTTACTATAAAAATTAAATGTACTTGATACAGATTTTTTTCAAATTAAAGTGAGATAATTTACATATGCAAACCCCATTCCCCGAGATTCAATGAACGCAAATCTGAAGTTTATCAATTTATTTCATACCATTATTTAACAGACAGAAGGTCAAAGGATTTTAGTATTTTCATTCACCAATCATTGTTTATCACAATGTTAACATGCTTATGTATCAGAATTAGTTATTAATATAGCTTGGTCTTTAAAGGCATCAATTCATGGCATGAATACTAGCCCGCCTTTGCTTTTTATGCTTTTTATATCAGTAATTTTTATTGCAAGATGATAAGAATAATATATATGATAATAATAGGAGAATGTGTTCATTCATGTGTTTTATTTAATTTAATTTTCATTGTCATTGAATCCAACATTCAACACATTGAGCAGTCAAGTTGTTGCACTCCAGAAATCTTACAAAGACAATAGGGAAGACAGACAACTCGCCCAAATGACAGAGTAAAAATTCTACTGACAAACAAACATCCTTTTCTCAGTACTTTAATCTAAATAAATCATGGAAGAACACAGTTGCAGGTCTAGATTTAATTTTGTTCAAAGAAGTTGAAATATTTCAAATATGACTTCCAAATTCTGTTCAATGTTTGCATATATCTGGGGAGGATAACCAACTCTTCAAAGTAAACAAAAATGCCAGTGCAAATTTAATTAGATAACTTAGTTTCAAGAGTTACTCTCTTCATTTAGTTCAAACAAGAAGTTAAAAAAGAAGCTCATTCAATCGATGCAAAATGAATCATTTGATTTGAACTAACAGATTTCAAGAAAATGACTAAATGTTGGTTATTTCCCACTTCTTAAAGGTTCTGCAGTAACAGCTTTCCTTGGTGCTCAGCAGTGAAATCAATTGTTCCAGAGGTATATTCAATAGTAAACACACAAATTGACGCAAACCATTATTAAAAATAGACTCGATTATTTAGATGAAATTAATGAAGAGACAGTAAAATATTCAATACATCGTTGTCAAAAGCAGCTTATTCTCAAAGCCTAATAACAGTATTCTGTCTTTCAGTCTCTAATTAAACTTATTATATAAAGAGGACAAAAAATAACTTTTGCCTCACTGCATACTTCTTTAGTAACATACTACCCCTGATATACATTTTATTTCCCCCTACCATACAGTACACAGTGACCTGAGGATCATTGTGGATACAGTAATGTGAGCAAATTTTAGTTAGAAATAGATAAATGCAGTTAATAAAGAATTATTTAAAAAAAAAAAAAATCAGGTTAATTAATTAATCACAAAAATGGAAGCACGCAGGTGGAAAATTGAAACAAAAATCAACATTTGTTGCAATTACTTACTCTTAAAGGTACACTTGCACAAAGCCAGCTTTTTATAACACTGTAGTCAGTATAGTGTTTGACGTCAGTTCTCCTACAGTTTCTAGAGAAGTGTTGCTTCACTCAAAAACTCCTAACTTTGCCATGGAAAGAAACGCTACATGTGCCACTGTACCTAAGCGTTAACACAGTGAAGGCAAATGATGTTCACATCAAATGTTGGTTTTACGTAACTTTGATTACAGTATGTAGTTATTAATAAACAAAATGATTGAAAATAGTACTTTAGTGTAAGTATTTAGCATGGCAGTACATACTGTATATTATTAACTGTGCCAAAAACTGTCAACAGTACTGTAACGTAGGCTCGTGCTCAAGGTTGTTCAAGAGAAAGACTGACATTTAAAGAATATATATTTAGACTCTTGGTCAGCAACAATATTTTTAAAAGCGCTGACTCGTGTTAGCTCCGGCAGGTTATAGTACAGTTATCTATATCGTTATAGTGTTGTCTACATTTAGGAACGGGATAAGAAAAATAGAATCTTAATTGCAAGTTAGTAGCACCTATTAGATATTTTAAAAAAAAGCATGTTAAGGAAACAATAAGTAACAGACGGAGAGGAAGAAAGAGGGATGGAGACTCATAACTGCACTGATGTTGTACAGTAACTGGCCAGATATATGGGCTGTGCTCATACATTTGGACAGAAAGCTGAGATTTCAGACTTTGGTTGTTAAGAATCAGGTAGATAGGCTTGAATTTTGTGCTTATGCTAAAAGTTCTATTGGTGCGTTGTTTCATGACATTAACGTGCTCAAATCAAGCCAAACAGGAAAAGATCATCTAGGGAATCTACCACTGTAAGTAACATAAGACTATATCTCAAAGTAGACTAATCTACCTGTGCAAAAGCACACAGTTGATGTGTGGACGCATGCAACACAAAAGTTTTAAGGTGATGATGGCACGTGAAGAAACAGCTATGCAAACTCTGCTGACCTGCCTGTTCAGAGAGTGTGTGTGTGTGTGTGGCAAAAATGTGAGACTTTTGGTTAAACAACAATCAGATTTCAGCCAGTCACACACCTTCGGTGACCAAACCAGTCCTAAGCTCAGGCGTGACACAGGTTTCCACTGGACCCGCAAGTGGAAGTAATGACACAGGTTTTGAGGATGGGGTTGAAGTGGGAGGCTGTGTGACCACTGGGTGGGAAAGGCTTCATGGTGGAGAGGATCAAGGCCAGACACTCGGCAACGTTTTTGTTCGGGGCACAGGCCAGAGCTGGTGTGTGACCTGCAGAGTGGAAAAAGGAAAAGAAAAACCTGCAGGTTTGTAAACTACAAATATCTCAACATTAAACAATCAATACATTTATATACAGTTGAAGATATTCTTTCATTTGTCCCTGTCAGAAAGACAGTACAACCCTGTTTGATATTTAAAAATAAAAGCCTGAAACTTCTTCCTCACCTTCTCCATCTACAGCCATGACGGCCGCTCCTCTGCTCAGTAACACCTGCACTACAGTCGCCAGACCTTTCCTGGCTGCAATGTGAAGAGGCCTGTGGGACAAACACACACAGGTCTGGATTTACTGCAATTTTACTAAAAATAAAAAAAGAATATCTGCTGAAGCTCAATTTTTTCAAGATGCATTGTAAATAATTGTCTTTATTTTGCTAAAAATGTGTGTGCNTAAATAATTGTCTTTATTTTGCTAAAATGTTGTGTGCGTGCATGCATTGTAAATAATTGTCTTTATTTTGTTAAAAATGTGTGCGTGCGTAAGACAGAGCAGTGGCCTGTGTTTCTGGATGACTTACATTTGGAGAACACTGTTGGCTGCGTTTATGAGTGAAGAGTCACTGATGTCTCCCAGGATCAACAGGGCACACATCTCATGACCCTGTAGTTGTTAAAACACACACAGTACGAGTGAGCAATAACACAGTAATCGATACTGATCAGAATGAGGGAACATGGTGGACAACACTGAATCTCATTCTGTCATTATGGAAGGTGATAACAGGGTTACTGTGAGACCTGCATCCAAACTACACATGCACGTGTGTGGGAGTGTGTGAGACCTTGCTGCAGGCTAAGTGAAGGGCTGTGTTATTATTGACATCCACCAGGGTCAGATCAGGCTTTGAATTGTGCAGCAAGAATTCTGGAAATGTAGAAAAAGTTAGTAAACCTTTGGAAATATTTACACTCTTGTATATAGGAAATGTTCCTCAGTCATATTAAACTGTTGGGACAAAAAAAAAGAAACTCAATCAGAGAGAGATTGAGAGAAAAATTAACTATCAGCTCTGATCAATCGGCTTTAAAATGCTAACTACAACAAAACACAAAAGCTAATATTCCGGTGCATCATGGAGGAAAGAATTGGACAATGTCAACCATAAAACTTATAGAAAAACAAATAGAAAAATACTATTTGATGACTTTTTTTTGTCACATACCAACAGCCAGGGTGTGTCCACTGTCAGCAGCGATCATCAGAGCCGAGCGGCCGCTCTGGTCTACAGCGTTGACATCTGCTCCGTGGCTCAGGACAACCTCCAACCCAGCAACACTTCCTGAATAGGCTGCTGCGTGCAGAGGGGTCCTGCAGCGACATAAAAAACACGAGACGGTAAATAAAACGATATTTGATCATTGTTTTTCTTGCCTAAGAACAACAACCCACCTCTCTTTAGAGTCGCGGACATTAACGATTTGAGGTCCAACGGTCTTTACGAGGAGGTCAGCAGCAGCGTCATGACCGTTAACGCTGCAGCAGGGAGAAGGATTATGTAAGTCATCTTTATTTATCTCCTTTTAAGACTTATTGAAATCAGCTTTCACTCACAGAGCACAGTGCAACGGTGTGAAAAGGTTTTTGTCCTGGTTGCTCAAAAGTTTGCTTTCAAGTAAAATGTGTAAACATCCTTTATGGCCTGGTAAAAAAAAAGAAAACTTTTTTTTTAAAAAGTATTATTACGTAAACATTGTAAATGTTTTTTAGTAAAAATAATGCCTGTATGTCTTTACATAATCTGTGTACCTTTGTAGGCGGCCCAGTGGGTGGGCGTGTAGCCACTGTGGTCCAGCATGGAGTCCAGAGGGTCAGCTTTCACCGCAGCTTTGAGTAAACTGTGCAGTAAGCCAATGTGTCCACAGGAGGCTGCGAGGTGCAGTGGCGTTCTTCCCTGAGAGTCTCGGCACAGAGCAGAGGCTCCGTGTTCCAGCAGAGCAGAGACACAGTCTTCACTGTCCAACATGGCCTGAAAGGAGGAGACCAGAAGGTAACTGAGGAAGAATAATGTCTGGGATACAAAACATCCCTCAAAGACAGCGACAGAACACAGTTCACATACGGCTCTGTGTAATGCAGTGAAGCCATTTTTGTCCACAGTGTCAGCATTGGCTCCTTTCTCCAACAGGATGTGAACACAGTCAGTGTGACGCCCCAGAGCTGCCAGCATAAGAGCCGTCCTGCACACACACGAAACAACAACAGGTAAGAGGTGTGTATTATATACATATATATAAGAATGAAGTAACTCTGTGAGTAACTCACTGTCCTTGTGTGTCCAGACAGTCGATGACGTCAGCACTTTGTTCCTTATTCACCAGCAGAAGCACACAATCCATTTGGCCTTCGGCTGCTGCTCATGAAGACGGGAACACAAAGTTATGTTACTACGAGTGAACCTAAGCAGCTAACTGTACCATGCTAACGTAACATCAGCGGCCGTAGGGACACACCCGCAGCGTGGAGAGCCGTCCACTTGTGCTTGTACTCCTTCAGTGTGTAGGAGGCGTGATGCTGCAGCAGCACCTCTACACATGTGGAGAATCCCCGCTCAGCAGCCAGGTGAAGAGCAGTTCGACCCTCGATGTCTCTGACATCCAGACTCACTAATGTCTCACACAGCAAACACAGTGCCTCCTGGTGGCCATAATAAGCCTGCAGGGACAGAGAGCCAGTAAAATCAGATGGAGATTTCAGACATAATTCAACAAAAATATTTCGTAATGAGTACATATTCTGCATATTACACAGAATGCAGTAGTATTATATATGATAATTTGACTACTCACAGCTAAGTGCAATGGACTGACTGGGATGTTACTTTCAACCTCTTCCAGACAGTTGAAAGAAATCTCCAGGAGCTGAAAAAGAGGTTGGAGAAATGATCTAATGCTCTAACATCCAATTACCCAAATAATAAATGACAGTACTGACCAGTTCGAGGTGCTGCTTGTTCCCACAGGCAGCTGCATAATGGACGGCACTGTAACCTTTACTATTCTTCAGAGTTGGGTTTCCTCCGTTGTCAAGCAAGAACTCTAAACACCTGAACACAGAGTGAAAGGTCAGTGACAACACCTTCTAAACTGAATTATTTTTTTTTGTTCAATTAACCAATAACTAAAAGTTAATTTAAATTAAAATGCAACCAAACCTCTGTTAATTTTCATTCACTTTAAATAAATAACAACTTACATCGTGGCCTCTCGCTGCTTGTCCAAACTGAAGTCTGACTCAGAGTTTGTGTTTCCACTGTGGAGACAAGAATCATTCACAGTATTAATAATATTATTATTTAGATAGATTAGTATTATTATTAATCTATGGACACTGTAATGTGCCATAGGTCTCTTAGGGGACATAGGATTTGCTATGTCCCTCTTTTTTCAAGGTCAACACGACCTCATCTGTCGTCCCCTTGTTGCAACAGTGCTAACCAATAGCTAAACATAGATGCTAGTAGATGCTTAAACTGTAAGAAACATTCAATATACATTAAAAGAAGTTAAGGCCTCTTACCTGCAGAAAGTGTGAGAAGCAGCAGTGTAATGTAGAGGGCTGCAGCCCATCAGGTCCAGCTCGTTGACCTCAGCACCTGCTCTCACCAGGGAGATGGTGCATTTGCTGTTTCCATTGGCTGCAGCATAGTGCAAAGGGGATCTGAAAGGTAGAGCAGGGGGCAGCTGTGATATGATGATGATAAAATGATAAAATGAAAATGATGGGGCATTTTACTCTCTGGCTTAAAACTATTTACCTTCCCAAATTATCCTTTATGTCCAGCTCACCGCCACCGTTTAAAATCAAGTTCAAGCACTCAACGTTTCTGTCAAAACACTTAATAATATTATTATTTAGATGAATTTTCTTTTTCAAAAATGTTCATGAAAAATTTTCAACTATTGACAATGTGACATGCAAAATTAGGAATTTGCTGAAAAATTCTCCCAATTTTTTTTCCAAAATTATTTTTTTCCAAATTTTTTTTTCCAAACATGCAAAATTAGGAATTTGCTGAAAAAGTCTCCCAATTTTTTTTTCCAAAAATTTTTTTTTTCAAAATTGTTTTTTTCAGAATTTTTTTTTCAAAATTGTTTTTTTCACAATTTTTTTTTCCCGAAATGCTCTAATTTGATGAGAAAAAATTATGTGACATTCGAAATTAGGATTTTGCAGAAAAACCAATGTTTGATGTACCAAGATATTTATTTATTATACACACACACTTACCCTCCACAGGCAGCTGCATGCAGGCAGGTCCTCCCATAATCATCCACTATGTTCACATCATCCCCATCTGATGACATTTGAAATGGGGCCATGTTGTAAAACTGACCTGAAAAATACGCAGCACCTCTTTTATGACGTAAAACCATTCGGGAAAAATATCAATACTTTTAAATTAGAAACTAACTTAGCAACGTACTTACCATAAGACAGTAACTTCCGACAACAGTCTGGAAATCCATAAAGTGCCGCCAAATGTAATGGAAGCATTCCATGAATGCCCGGTCTTCAGATATCCCAGCAAACGATATATTAATTCATTAATATCACAGACTTTCCTTAGAGATATGTCCATATTAACGCAGTCAACTATAATAGTATTGTTTTTTAGAACTAAAAATCAGAATAGATAACCTAAGCTGATGTGTATTTTGTCTCAAATGTTTGCTTGATCTGCTGCCAGGTTGAAACAGTCAGATCATCTCATTAGAAAAAAAAGATACACCACCCTAAGTATAGAGCGTGGACAATCATGTAAATTGTGACACGTGTTATAAATAAGAAAAACAAACAAACCTGAACTTGTCGGCTCCATTAGTCAGTAGAGTGCTGATCAATAACTCCTGACCATATTTGGCAGCAACATGAAGAGGAGTGCATTCATACATATCCACACAGTCGACCTCTCCACCTGCGTCCAAAGGCAGAGGAAAGCATCTTTTGGTTGTAAAGGGTTTGGAATAAAGAGTACAACAGAATTCTTGACAGCTAAGTTACCATTTTGGATCAGTATCTGGGACCCTGTGAAGCGTC